CAGCGGCGGTGGAGAGTTCCGGCCACCACTCGGCACCGGCGAGATCGGCGTGTCCGACATTGATCGACTCGGCGTACCAAGATTGGAGCTCGTGGTCGGTACGAATTAAGCTCGGGTCTGGGTAGTAACGGTCCACGTATGTTCGGACCCAGTTTTGGATCGCCGACCACATTAGAAGCCCATCGTTGGCGTACGGGTAGTCCTCGATTAGTAACTTAAGCCCATGTGGCTGTGTCGGGTCGGGAACAGCAATTCCCCTGAAAATTTAATTTAAAAATGAAAAAATAATAACAATATTTAGATTCCTTATCAAATAATTGAGAAAATGCACAAAAATAACCAAACATAAATGTCACATTCTCCAAAAAAAAAATACTAGAGACGATAAAATTGTAGTAAAGTATATTCAAGATTTTAGCTATGATTTTTTTTCATCTGTTCATTCTGCTGCTAGAACCTAATATTAACATATTACAATGGATATAATTATCCAAAGGATGAAGATGTATTGTATGTATGTATGTATGTACCTTCGGATGAGATCAGCGGGTAGGCCTTCCATGTCGAACCGCCAACGGCTCTTATAAGCCGCGGCGCTCATCTCCATACAGCACGGACCGGGAGTGAAGCAAGACTCGATCACGCCGTCCGCACTGATCAGAGTCTGACGAGCCAAACCATTGATCTCCATAGTATACCTCATGTGCGGGTCCAGCAATTTAAACATGGGATGCATCGCACTCAACTGCCTATGCGCGGCCAATATGAACGGCTCCAGACACGCATGAGTGCGCAGCCAGTGGTTCACGAGCTGGTGGACTCCGGCATCGTTCGAGCAGACGTGGGCCTTGGCCAGCTGCCACGTCCAGTTCGAGGTTGCGTCCACTGGAGGCGTAAGGACTCGTTTGTGACGGTGGCTGGGACCGTGGGGAGGGAGGCTAAGCTCAATGGCTATAGGTTTCAACGTGCCGAGACGCGTAAGGAACAGAATGGTCCGTGTGGCGTATGCTTTCCTCCCGTCCAGAGCGTTGATCCGATCGAGAAACGGTAAGTAGATGTCGTGGTAGTCCAGCATGTACAATCTGTTATCTTCTACGGCCTAAAAGACACGATTTTAAAAAGAAAAACGTTATTAGATTATCGTTAACGTATATTTTTGCACGTGATCGATTATTTGTTGTTAGGGTTTTACGTACTTGTTGTACGGACATGCCGTCGATATGGCCGATGATGTGATCTTCGGTGAGAGCGGACTGTTGTGGACCGTAGATTTCAGGGTCAAGATCGCTGACCGGTGGAAACGTCTTGACTCGTTCTATGTTAACCGGGTTGATTCCGGCTATGGCTTGACGGGCGAACTCGTCGTCCCTTAGCCACGCGAATTTGTCCTCTGCACAATTCAATTTTTTAAAATAAAAATAGTTAATTAACTAAACAATTTGATTATATTAAAGATTACGCGTTCTCATAATTATGAAAAAACTAATATCTATAACCGACCAATAATAGAAAAAAAAAATCAATAGAAACACGTGAAAAATGGTAGTGTTGTATAATGGGGAAGTGGGTTCGTATGCTTTTTAAAAGTGTGGATTGATGTGAAGCAACATTTTATTTGTGGACATTGACGACATGGGAATCTAACGAGATATCGTTTCGTTATGCCCTAACGCAAAGTCGGTCCAAAAGCATTATAAAGTAAAAGTTGTGGTAGATTTCCGATAACGTTGCACCTAGGACCAGCTAAATTTGCACGTATTAATAATATTTATTCACCAAGGTAAATTATATATGGATATTAATTGGGTATGTAATTTAAGAAATAAGACAATGAATAGTGTGCTTACTCGATACGATTTTTGGAGTGTCGTATCTCAGAAGGCCTTGGCTCGACTCCTGGAGCTTGTTCACGACCTTAGGGAAAGGCAGCTTCTTCAAGATCTCGTCTTGAAACCCTAATTTGAGAAGCAACCCTTCTTTGTACAGGCTGTCTATTTCGGAGAAGTTGGCGAAATCTTCCGCCAAAATGCTAGCCTTGAGCGACGGGATGAGGTTGTGGAGCACGGCTTTCAGCCTCCCGGCCGCGAACGTATCCTGTTTCGACTCCTCGAACTGCTCGTCCCGGGGCACGTACATCGGCAACGGCTTCTCCACTCGGCTCTCCGCCTTCATATCTACCGTAAAAAAACATCGTACAACGCGTGACATTTTATTTAGTACCTAAACTTTAATGGATGTAATAACATTTTACTATATTGTAACTATAAAACGTGTGATTTTTAATTACCGGTGTCTGTTGGGGAACGGCCTGTTCGGCATCGTCTAGGGTATGGAATTTCTTCGCCGCCGAGCGTGGGACGGGCGAGTTCGACTCCTTTGTCGGGGTTTCCGAGATCGTTGTAGACATCATAGTCATAGATTCTGTCGGATAATTTCCTCTCTCCTTTGCCATCACCTCTTAAGCTCTTGAGCTCTTTCTCCCTCAATGCTCTTATCCCTTTGGGGGTATCTCTCGGCAGACAAGGCTACCACAAGTTCCAAAGGCAAAAAAAAAAACTAATTTAGTTGCTGGATCGATATGTTGTTATTTAATATAATGATGGGAGTTTGATAATGATATGAAGAAGTGTGTAGAGAGTGGACCCACCAAGCTTTTAATGGTATATATATAATAATCATGTTAAGATTATATCTAGCATTGGATTTTTACCTGATTGGAGAAGAAGATACGTTTTTGAGGGTGGTCGCTCTGGGATTGGACCCAAGAGTTGCAGGGGAAGTGGATGGGGCCGGAAGCAAATCCTTCAATGGCGATGCTCTCGAGGAAGAACTCCTTCTGGTGTTTGTTCGTGACGGTGATTGCTCCCGGCGTTCCGAAGGCGGCGTCCACCGTGAACTCCGCCGTGTAATGGACCCTCTCCGCCTTCGTGTTCGATTTCCTCGACCAGTCCTTCAGTACAGCTTCTCTGCTCTTCCTCGCCTCGTTCGTTTCTGTATGTTTTTTTCCAATTTGAAATTCGGACCGTCGTTGATTAGTTCCAGTTCGAAAACCGTGCAAAAGATCAAGTTTTTGACTGATACCCACTTGGAGTTTCTGGATTTTTACTATGAACGTCAAGGTAAACACCGTTGAAATTCAAAATTTTGGGATCGACCCATACGCGATTCCACGAATACCCAGAAAGAAAGATTCCGTTTTGACGGATACCCATTTCGAGTTACGAGATTTTACTGTAACCCCCGACGTAAAAACGTTTAAATTCGAGATTTTGGGATGAAACCCGAAAACTTTGTTTGTTTTCACTTAAAGAAGTTAGGGTTAGGTGACTTACTTGGATCGACGTCGTTGCTAATGAGCTCCAAGACGACGTTCCGACCGATCCGATCAGTCAAGCAATCCAAATGCTTAACCAAAGTCTCTTTGAAATCCTCCTTGTTCTTGTTCCTCACAGTCACAACCGCTCTCACCTTGAACTTCACCGCCTCCTCCTCGCTCCGGTCACCTCTCTCGCCGCCGTTGGTGGTACGCAGCGTTTTGACCAGATCCTCGCTGATCGCCGCCACAACTCCGCCGCAAGATTTCCTCGCCGGAAAACCGAATCCGGGTCTCCGGTCGAAAGGATTGATCAAGAACCGGGCTTGGCTCTTCTTGACGGAGAAATACGACACGGGCGAGGAAGAGAAGGACGATCTCTCGGAGATGAGAGGAGTACCCACTATCTCTTTGGCAAACGCCATGGCAGCCAGCGGCGAGGACGAAGAAGTACTGAGTTTGTGTGGTTGGGTGAAAGCCCTACGAGAGTTTTCTGTAGAGCTCGAAGCAGAGAATTTGCGTGGAGGCTTATCGTTTATCTCTGATTCGTTCTGATTACAAAATGGCCCGACGAAATGATGTATTTATACGTGGAGAGAGAGAGAAGAGAAGAGGAGGAAGAAAGTGACTGTCCACACGTTTTTTTAGTTGGACTGTTGATTTTTTACTTGTTCTACATGAACAATTTTTTTTTATTGGTCGTTGTTTTTTTTTTCCGTAAAGACAATAATTTTCAAAAATCTTTTTATTATTAGGATGTGTGAGATAAATTATAAAATACTATAGCAGAATCAATTATAAACTAATATAATGATATAATCGTTTTGTTGGGTAAATTATGATATAATTGCCAAACATTCTTATTGAACTAAATATAAAAGGCTAAAAAGATTACACATTAGATGAATGGTTTTCTTAAATATTTTAAGTTACAAAAATTTAATAATGAAATTAGATGTTAAGATAAATAATTTATATTTTTATTGGGATAGAAATTGTGTTTTTCATATTTGGAAAACGTGAAAATTTACCAAATCAATCATAATATATAATTTAATTTCGTGTGTATAATATATATATATGGGTTTTTATTTGGGGTTATAAAAATAATATATGATCTAAGACAATTCAATTGGTCTAGATGCTATCAATTGCACTAATCGGAAGATGGTTTTAATTCCATTATATATATTTATTATATTACAAATTTTATAAGTTCATCCACCTATATAAAATTTGGAATTCTCAAACATACATAATAAATTACAAATTTTAGAGATATTACATATGTAACTCTGTTAATAGATATTAATGTCTTTTAGGTTCTTGGGACTTAATTTATTGGAACCTCCATACCAAGACTTATAAAAATCTGTCCTTTTGTTATGCTTTAAATAAAAAGATATTGAATTTACTTGGAAAATAAAATACTAATATCTAATGTCATGTGTTTAATCAAGTTTTTCATTGACAAATGTATTTTATCACTTTTTTTATTAAATATCACTAACGAGCAACACCATAAAAAATATTTTATGATATCAAATGTAAATATCTTTTGATTTCCCATTTATATATATATACATGGATGGGACCTTTATAGTTAATGCGTGATTACTTATTTATTAATTATGTTTAACATGTCTAGCGTAATGTTGCAAGTGTCGTTAGAAATTGATCAAACAAAAAAAAGGGTGGCTGCATTGAGTCAAAGCGAGTTTCCGAGTCAGAGGCCGCGTCGTGAAAATGCGAGGAAACGAGGTCGAAACTCGGTGTTGATTTTCGTATGATTTATGTAATGACTATTTTACCCTTGATATTTCCATTATTAGCATACCCTGGTCCCCTCGGGACCTTCTGTATATATCAGTGGGTTCACACAACATGCGAAGTAAATTAATTAATTAAAAAGGGGATTTTGAACGGTCGATAAATTAGTTGGACGGATGAGCTTAAAATCGTCTCGTTAAAAATTCGATCTAAAACTCCTTTCAATATATTTTTTCAAATCAAATGAATTTTGAAAAAAAAATATAAAATTTGATTTATCCATCCTCCCCGGTCGATTATTATGTTTTTAATTTGGACCATACTAACTCATTTTAGACAAAAAAAAATGATAAGGTTTATATAATAATCTCCATCACATTTGATCGTTAGAATTTTATTTATTTTGATAACAAAACAATTAATTTAATGTATATATGTATCGATGTCTCTCACCAAGAACCCCTAGCTATTATTGATAAAGATCCAAGAAAAACACGAATATAGACTCGCATAAAATTAATTACCATTTCATAATTCATATATAATATTATGAATAAAAATCTATCTAAGTGTATTCAAAGATGACAACGGTCGCAGAACTTATCTCGTTATCTTGATTCCGTGGATTTTTTTTTTAGTTAAATTTAAGGTTTAGGTATCTGATCCTTCTCCGCAGAATCTAATATTGATTCACATAAATTAATTATTTTGACATTATTTATTTTCTAAGGTTACTTAACGAATTACGGAATCTAAGGATAAGGATTTTCTTTGAAGGATTCGAGGAGACCAATTCACAAGCCACCGGTTTGGTAAAGTGTTCTCTCTCTCTCTCTCGCCGCCGGTTTGGCTGAAAACCCTAAATATAATATTCCCATTAATTAAAGTCGTATATATATATATATATGTTTATAAGAAAGTCGTATATATTATAAATACTATTCAATAAAATATATATACACACTTATCTTCAACATGCTCAATTAGGAAACATCAAGGAAACGCTTTTCGCCTTATAATATTCACATCTAAGAGGGCCCCTCTGAAATTAATATTACTTAAAACATGTGCAATCTATAATTAATTACTTATTATTATTATTATTATTATAGATAAAAGTATGACAATATGTACTCAGTTAAGATAGGTTTAGTTTGATATAATTTTATTTATTAAATTAATAAGATGAAAAGCATAAATTTTTTATATAAATTTTCTAAAAATAATAAAAATACTAATAAAAAAATCAAACCACAATGAGTCGTGTATTAAACCAAATCAAACATAAGCTAAAAGACCAAAGACCCTATTATTGTCAAAGTCTTGGTTTTATATATGTCTCAAACTCTATCAACATAACCATACAATTAATTAGGCTTCGAGGAAATTACGTCAAAGAGAATATATACACGTGCATAAACTTTTGCGCCGTATTTAATTACGATAATATCTTTTTACGAAAATGATTTAAATAATTAATGAATATTAAGGAAATTGGGCGTTATTCTATACAGATAAAGCCGATACATGCAACTATATATGTGTGTGTGTGTGTGTGTATATATATGGTATTAAAAATAGATACAGGGATTCTTTGATCGTATGACATTTTGTTGATTAATTAATAAGCTTTATTATTTTTTTTTTCCAAATTTGTAATGTATATTAAAATCGTATTGTCGTGTTCGAGAGGATGTATATTGTTTTCCCTTGGTACATATCCTAATGTTTGAATGCAGTTGTCATTTTGTACTCCTCCACTCCAAAATAATTTCAATGGAGTAATCGCATCGTCTTCTCTACGAACAAATTCCACTAATTTTGATTTTATTAATGACAACACGTACCAACTTCTATACACGACTATATAATATATATATATATATTTCATCGATGTAAGCACGGCCATGTTTATTAAACGGCTTACATCAATCACATCCTAACCAAATTTGATATTTAAACCGATTGGATATAATTCTTTTAAATCCAAACTAATCGGATTCAGATTGAATATTTACAAAATTAATATTTTGTTGCAAAATTTTGAATCTAAATTGGATTCAAATAAAAATAGAATAAAATGGAAACCGTAAACTACTTAATACCATTATCAAAAACCCAAAAAAAAAAACTGAAATCAAAATATCGAATGAGAGAACCCCACATCTTTATATTTTTATTATATTGATGAAATTTTGATGACCTAATGTTCTTTTGTAAAAATAATATAGTGAAATAATTGTAATGGAATGACTAGTGGGTCTGGACTACATATCCAATATATATATATAAAAAAAAGGTAACAGATGGGTCCGAAATGAAACTAAAATAATGAGATGTATATTATAAAATATTCCACCGTGGAAAAGACCGTCTTTTTTTTTTTTTATATATCGAGAGGTTCACATGGGGCTTCGGCCCAACCTACATCCCCTCAGGCCCGGGAGCAGCCTTTAGAGGCCCGATGACAGGAGTCCAGAGAGCAACACCCTCCCAACCAAGAAAACACCCCCTCCCCCAGCAGCTGGATTCGAACTGGTGACCGGGACCCCAAGAACAACACCCTTTCAACCACTCGCCCACTACTTACCGGGTGAAAAGACCGTCTTGAGCTTACCAATTTAATTTTCAAGAATATCCGTCGCGTTGATAGAGAGGGCCAACGTTTTGGACTTGTTCATAGTGTCATTTCCCTCATTTGCACCCAACTCCAATAGATGTGTACACAATACTATCAATATCACATACTATATATATATATTCTAAGAACAATCATAAACCTTGTATGTATACGCAATACTTCAATATGCCTGTCTAGATACACCATATTTTATTTAATTTTATATATTTTAAATTTAACATTTTGGTCTCCCAAACATGTTAATCTTTGACCGGTAAACTGTAACCAGTGCATGCAAAGGTCACTATATGCGTTGTGCAATGTCATTAAGACGAATGATGCCGGGTCTGCAACCATACGTACGCATTCACACACACACACACACACACACACATATATATATATATATATATATATATATATATGCGTGTGTATATTAGTGTACAGATTTTCGTGCATGGCCCAACATGCGACGTGTTCAAATTCCACGGAGGCCTCGAGAGAGCCTAAAAGACTTTTAGTAAAAGCCATGCAATATCTTCATGTGTGGACTTATTTATTAGTTCTCAGATTAACCTAAAAAATTGTTGTTTATTTGATTCATACGAGAAATATGTGTGTGTGTGTGTGTGTATATATATATAATCAAAATAATCTAAATTAGACTAATTCGACATATATAAACCAATCAAAGTTATAATAATAAATGGATGGAAAATAACCAAAATGATTTAAAGCAAATAATCCTATATATATATATAATAAACCAATCAAGATTGTAATGGTAAACGTATGGAATATTGACCAACGTGAGACTTTTTCAGGTCTATTTTGATGGGCAAACGGAAGAAAAACACACAAAAGTGTTTGGAAACAAAAAAAAAAAAAGTCTAGAGACAATGTGTGATTGAATTGAAAAGTCAACCAACCGTCTTGTCTTAATTATCACCGTCCAAGAAAATTACAATTGCGGCCACAAAAGAAAATCACAAATTAAAAAAAAAATGGTCAAAGTTGTAAGAATCTCTCGTATGGTTAGGGAGATTAGTACATTCATTATTTTGTTTGTAAGCAGGATACATCTTTGTAAAATCCCACACAAATATATGAATTATTCAAAAAAAAATATTTCAAATATATACACATTAAAACAGCCAACTAAATATATATTTTAGAGTAACAATAATAAAACACATATATCAAATTAGAAATGTTTTTATATTTATTTAGAATTTCGTAAATATTGTGTATCTATTTACTACTTTAAAAATTTTATTTATTTTTGGCACTTTTCAAATAATTCATTTATTTTTATAGAATTTTACATACAACTACACACACACGCACTCTTTGGGATAAACATGGAAATGGGTAAAACGGTGTAAATATTTATGGTTTAGATGGTGCCTTTTAATTAATTGGTTGAAATTAATTTTGATGGTCCAACAATGAGTTAGACGAAAAACGAAATTGTTATAAATATTGAACGTGGCAATCAATGAATTAGAGATATTAGAATTATATGTGTTCCTATCCACGAAAAGGTTAGTGTTGAAAAATCATAATGGAGATTTGAATAAGACTACTGCTCTTATATATATATATATATATATATATATGATTTGAAGCACCGTCCACGAAAATTACAGCTGCGAAACCAAAAATACGAATTTTCGGGAAATATGTAACAACGGATACTGTGGTCGGAGGAGACATAATAAAATCCAAATTTAAACTAAAAATGATAAATTTTCAGAAACTAAAAACGATGAAAAAAGATTGAGACGACTTTATATATATATAGATTGAGGGTCTATAAATTCAAATATGAACAGAGATAACCGAAAACATTACTCCAACCTATAAACTGTGACAATTTTATGTATTAAATAACAAAACCGTCGATATCCAATTCAAATTAATCAAATATGAAAATGAATAATTCCCAAATAATAAACTATAAATGTAACTCGGCTGTACAAAATAATGTTTCCATCTTGTTTATGTTCATACAAAATAATTGTTACTGAAATTATTTATTACACTTTTTATTAAATAAAAATCTCTGAAATGAATAATTAATTTCGTTTGCACAATCGAATTTCGAATGTTTTCAAAGGCATAAAGCGGTTGCTGTCACGATTATCTAATTGCAACCGCGATTTTATGTTTGCTTGATTGTGAAATTATTTAAAAATCATTTATAGAGTATAGTATATAAATTTTTTTGTTCATTTTGGAATTGTTTAAAATAAAATATACATGAGGCAATATTTATCCTTTATATTTTTTTAAATGTACAAATAAATATTTATCGGCGGTAAAATAACGTTTGAAAATAAAAACTCAAAGTGTTTGCGTTTCGAACAGTCGCAATGCGCGTCTCGCGTTTGGGAGTTGCGGCCATAGCGATCGAGTCATATCCCACTGACTACTGAGCTCTTTCATATTTCGCTTCCACCCTTCTTTCTTCCCGCCCTCCTTTCTCGGAGTTTCGTCGTCAAGATCCTCCTTTCGTTCTTCGAATCTCTCCCTCGGCAAGGTAAATTCTCTGTTTGTTTCCCGGGAAAATGCAGGAAAAAAACCCAAAAAAAAAAATCACGCCTTTTCCCTTCTACTGCAGGATCAAAGACACGAGAAGCTACGGAACATTCCTCCTTGATTCTCAATCAATTTCGGATTTTTTCCCTCATCAATCGAACATAAGCTACTTAGATCCGGTGATTGGAATCTGGGTTTCTGAATCTGATTCATTTTATTGCTTCTGTTCATCGATTTCCTCCTTTTTTTTTTAACTAATTGTTCTGCTCTGGGCGATGTTTCCCCCCTCTTCGTCTGGCTTTCTCGTTCTGATAATTGCTTGAATTTTTCGGCCTAACTACGGCGAGTGAAGCTTCGGATGTTGCGATTTGCAGAGACATTTGTATTTTTCCTGCTAATTGTCTCAGTCTATTTGCCGAACAGGTGAGCTTGAAAAGCTAGGGTTTTTTCCCCCCCAAATTCTTCAGGATGTAATCCTGAACTGAAATCTTCATATGTTCTGAAGAATTAGAGTTCGAGTTGCTTCCAGGGATGATCATTTGCTATAGAAACAAAGGAATTCGTTTGCGAACTCTGTTGATAATGTTTCGAACAAGTTCTTCTCGGAACACGATGTGAAAGTGGAATCACATCACATGAGATTTGTCATCTTGTAATGATATAATACTGAATTAAGATGTTATAATGTTGTTGTCTTCCTGAGTTCGTTCCCATTATCCCATATTAGTTCTCTGCTCAATATGTATAGATCTAATACATCGTAGCCATGATTGGTTTTTACGAATGGTGTGCTGCAAAACGCAGGCATTTGGGTGATGCAGCTGGTGGAAAAGAGAGAACCTTGGCTATGATAAAGCCGGATGGAGTCTCGAGTAACTACACGGGCGAAATAAGAAAGATCGTTCTCAAAGCCGGTTTTGATATCGACAAGGAGATGCTTACTCAACTCGACATGGAGGCAGCGTCTGCATTTTATGTTGAGCACTTGTCCAAGAGCTTCTTCCCTGATCTCATCAAATACATGACAAGGTTGATGATTTTTACTTACCCATGACCATAATCTATCTGGTGGCCGCGTGATAACGCAAGCACGTAATCTTTATCGGGGAAAAGGCTTTTCTTTTTCTGTTGGCAGCTTTTTCATTCTCTTCTGCGGATTCTCACTGTTTGCTTCTTCTTCTTCTTCTTCTTCGCCCGTGTTTTCGGACTGAATGTTTTGACCAGTGGTCCAGTGTTGGTCATGGTCTTGGAGAAGCAAAATGCTGTTGCCGATTGGCGTGCTTTAATCGGGCCAACAGACGCAAGAAAGGCTAAGATTTCTCATCCTCACAGGTGATTTCTCCAAATCGTTTTTAGAGATCTTGTCATTATATCCGGACAGATAATATCATACATCGGTATACGAAGTTGTTCATGATTGTTCTCGATCGTGTTTTTCAGCATCAGAGCATTGTGCGGCATTGATTCACAGAGGAATTGCGTGCACGGCTCAGATTCAGTCCATTCGGCCGAAAGGGAGATCATGTTTTTCTTCATGGATGCAGAGTCGGGTTTGCTTCTTTCCCCTTCCTTCCTCCCTTTATGTTCTTCGAAGACTTCACTCTATTCGCCTTTTTATTCTGACAATCACTAGCATTGCAGGGGACACCACAGTGCGACACGACGAACTATAGTTCGGTAAGAAAACTGATACGATTCTTCCGAACATCTAATGTCGATATAGAGCTCGTGCTATATGTTTTCTCGAGATCGCGATGAAACCGTTACAATCAAACCTCCTCTGCTTGCTTTCCTACTGTGTAGAGTGTCTTGGTAACTCTGCCGCTTTCTCCAGCTGATATCCAAATCTTAATCTTATGGTTAGTTTTGGCATTTTGTGAAGCTTTACAAGTTGTTAAATTGCAATGAAATGATTTGAGTGAGTCTCCGCATTATTGTTGATTGTATTATCACCAAATTTGTGTTGTATCCTTATTGTAAGTTTTTTTTGGTAACGGAGGGAACCACCACGACCTTTCGGGTGCGGAATAAATCCACCGATTTCACATAATAGCCTACAGATCATGTTGAATAAGTAAATCAGTCGAAACTAACAAATTCCATGATCTGAGGAGTTGAATCCATGATCTCTATTAACCTCCATTATTGTAAGTTGGTAAGTCATGTTTCTTACCTTAGGATTCTTAAGCTTAATAGATATCTATAGGCATGACACATGCCATGAGCTCGTATGAGTATCAATATCAAATTGACAGGATATAATAAAATATAATTGTATTGGAATATACATTTTAATTCCTAAAGTTAAAATGAACTGAATTTGAAAACGAATGTAAAAATAACTGAAAATTGGAAAACATTAAAAATCTTTTACATTTTTTCGGATACTAAGAGAAATAAGATGGAATTTAAATTTGATTGGAATTTTTTTTTTTATGTCATATTGCAATTTGCATTCAATAGTAAAGAGGGTCATCGCCATCGGTTCTGTTGTTTAAATAATAAAAGGAAAAAATTAGGGCATTGGAGAAAGAGAGAGAACATTCCATAAATGGAAAGCTTTGGTATTTACGGAAATGTTACTAAACACAAAGAGGCCTTGTGAACTCGGGAAATCACGTGGCATTTTCTGCGATCTCGAGAACCAGTTTCCTCGTCTCTCTTGTTGCATATTTTTTTTTTATTAATTATTAATTTTCATGAAAATAATTATTAAAAACCAGAATGTATATATTCGAAAGGCCACGTAATTTCTATAGATGGTTTTATTCCAACTTTCATGAAAAATCACGTAACTTCTATTGAACTATTTCAAAATAAAATGTTTATACCAATAAATAAGTTCAATATTGAGCATGTATACATACATATATATATATATAAAGTTTAAGACTTTTTTATTAACAGTTGATCGTTTCATTTGTTTCTAAAAAAACTATTTTTTTATATTAAATTATTCACAATTGTGTTGACTGTTGAGGGCAACGCAATAACGATATTAACCACATATTTATCAAATAAACTCTGTTTTTAAATGGTCCCTAATTAAATCACCTTTTGTCTGGATGTTCCCTTGTTTAATTAAACCGATTTAGAACTGTTCTGAAGGAATAGGGCGGGAAGATTGAGAGAAGAGTTTGAGAACTTTTATGCAATGCCTCTGAATCTTAAATATGTGGAATATATATTTTAAAAAATTAAATTAAATGATAAACGATGGAATGTATAGTTGAATCTACAAATATATCGTATATTTTATCAGATTACAGAATTGAACGCAATTATAAAATACCATTTGTAATGTATGATCAATCAAAGTGTTTGATTCATTCAAGAAAATGTTCCAATATATTAATGTTCAAATTGATACATAGGTGTATCATGATTTGTTATGCACCAAGAAAATAATATTTTGTGATTTTGTGTGATAATTTGTCTACTGTTATAAATTTTCAAGATATTCAAAACCACCCATTTGATTATCAACGTTATTTTTTTTTTCCTTTCAAAATTAATGGGTTCGTGTTGAATCTAATTGGTCGCGATTTACTAAAGATATATACTGTTAATTAATTAATTAATTCGGTTACAAATTATCCGATGAGATTAGGAAGAAGTCCAACTTTGAAGTGAAGACAAAGTTTCATGAACACCAAGATTCGGTTCCTCCAATGATGTTAGTTCATTTGGCAACATGAAAAGCTTTGGGGATTTCGCGATCGCCTTTTTTTGAATATTATAAACAAAAAAATAATAATTAGATTGACACCCAAATCCATGAAATCAAAAAGTGTTCATAGCTACAAAATCTGCAAACCCATGCATGCACTTCGTGTCAACGTAGTAACCATTCAATGATGATATTATGGTTTCTAGGGATTCATCGATCTCATCTTTTTCATATTATTATTAATCACAACTTCGAAGTTGTGATATCAAATGGAAGCAAGCAATGCCACGAAGTCGCTCACGGGGTGTATCATCCGCCATCAAAGCCGTAACGTTCTCCCCAATGCACCATTCTTGTATTTTACAGGAGAGAGAGAGAGAGAGAGAGGGAGAGAGAGAGGACGAAGAAGAAGAAGAAGAAGAAGAAGAAGAAGAATGTTCTTTGGACGTATGTATCGGGATGTGAGATGTATTAGTTGTATAAAAAGATTGATATAAAACCGAAGATTACCAAACTTGTGTGAAAAAAAAAAGTTTTTTTTTTCCTTTGAAGAGGTGAATTCAGAAGACGACGAAGAGGAAATTAAGCAGATCATTTGGGAACTTGAACCATCAAATTCATCAAACCGAAACACAATCCCCGAATCCTTAATTTTTTTTTTAAAACTCAAAAACTTTGATCCTTAAAGATCTTATTACCCTATCCTTGTATTTAACCTGTCATTGTCGCCAAGAACTCAGATTTCATACAACACATCTCCTTTTCCCTTCTTCTTCTTCCTCTTGTCTGTTTCTAAAACAATGAAGGTTCGTGTTCTGTTTGTGTTATGGTTATGGATCTCTCTGAAAATGTCTGAAATGAGTTGCATGCATGCATACAGACATTATACATACATATGCATATATATGCTTATAAGGTTTTGGTCATGTTCTTGGTGCAGTTCTTTGGGTGGATGCAGACGAAGCTAAGTGGGAAGCAGCTGAATAATAATAGCAGACCAAGCACGTCCTCGGCTTCTCGTGAGTCTTTGTCTCTTGTGTCTTGATGTTTCTTGGACATGTTCTCGGGTCCATGTTTTCGGGTCATAAACAAATATTATTATTCGGACATCGGTTTCTTTAATATATGATTTCTTGCTTGCAAACTTCAAGAAAGGAAATGATATATTTTGTTGCATCTGAAGATCATCTGAAGCAAGAGCCACGGGAAGAATTCAGCGACTGGCCTCACGGGTTATTAGCTATCGGGACATTCGGTACAAACAACTGTGCGAGACGGGACAAGAATCGGAAGGTTCAATGGATCCAGGAAGAGGCTTCGAATGCAAAACACGGCGAAAACGAAGACCGGAACCAAGAACAAGATCAAGATCCTTCTTCCTCGGACGATCTGGAAGACTTCACTTCCGAGGAGGTGGGCAGACTACAGAAGGAGTTGACGAAGCTCTTGTCACGGACTAAGAAGAGAAAGTCGGATGTGCACAGGGAGCTCACGAACAATCTCCCACTGGATAGATTCTTGAACTGCCCTTCGAGCTTGGAGGTAGACAGGAGAATCAGCAACACCCTCTGCAGCATTGATCCCGATGACAAGGAGGAAGACATCGAGCGGACTATCAGCATTATTCTCGGCAGATGCAAAGAGATCTCGACAGAGAACAAGAACAAGAAGAAGAAGACGGATATCGGTAAAACCTGCGTCTCATATCTCCTCAAGAAGATTTTCATCTGCAGAGAAGGATTCTCGTCGCGTGCTCCCTCTCCGAGTTTGAGAGATACCCTTCAAGAATCAAGAATGGAGAAGGTACATACCGAGAAAACAAACATCGAATAAACTCAGTTTCGAAACACAGATTAATTGATATCGCTTTGTGTCGAAATCCCGTAAACTATACAGTTCTTGAGGATGATGCTACACAAAAAGATAAACCCTCAAGCCTCCTCGAGGGCAACATCGGTGAAGAATTACTTGCAAGACAAGCAACGAGTTTCGAAGAATATCGAAGAAGAGGCAAACGAGAAAAGTAACGACGGGTGTAAATGGGTCAAGACGGATTCCGATTGTGAGTTGATATCAGATCCTAATTTCGAAAACCAAAAACACTCACAGCAACACTTAAAACTGATTCAGATCTTCTTCTGATTGCAGTCATTGTTCTTGAAATCTGAACACGTTTTGTTCCTCAGCTCTTGCAAACGCTAATGCACAAGTACAGGTAAATAAACTTGAACCCCAAAACAAGAATCTCATTCTATAATAAAGTCTTCCACTTTCAGTTACTCTTGCTGAACTAATGTACTTATGCAAGATCATTGTTTTCTCTTTTTATGCAGATATACACACACACACACATATATATATATGTGTGTACGGCTTTGGAGGGAAATCAAAAGAAAGGAACAATTTTGGGCATCTGCAGAATCTGCTTTTGCTCTTCTTTTTTGCGTGTTTTGGTTAATGTGGGCATTGCTTCCACCGAAACCAGACATGTTCTTGAAACATCACCACACCGAGACATTTATAAGCATACGTACATGCATGTGTATATATATGTGCATGTCTGTATGTACATGCATGTATTTTTCAGGTGGATAACCTGAGCGAGCTCAGTAAGACTTCTTTCTTACATTATTTATGCTTTTAGCTCTGTCATTTTTATGTGCTGTGTAAGAAACAGACTCTAGAAATTAATAATATCTCTTCTTTTCGTTTTTTTTAATATTTGTTTTTCCAAAACCCTTATATTATTTATTTTTTTAAAAATATTTTCATGCTCTTCTAAATCTCCGGAATAACAAGAATATGACCAGCTTTAAAGGAAAATAAAATAAAATTAGTGGGTTATATATATAGTGGAAAATAGCTTGGTTTGGCGAAACTCTCCATTACGCAACACTTGACAAGGAATCTGTGGTCAGAATCTTATCTTCGTATGGCAGATACTCTTTTTATTTCTTGTTTTTTTATTTTATTTTATTTCTGGTAAATAGTTATTGTATTTTCGTTCTCACGATAAATTGTTTTGAATAATGTAGATGATGACAGAGGCCCGCTACTAATAAATTGAGGGTATTTCCGACAACATATTGAAGTGGTTTTAAACATAATGCAGCATGTGGAATGCCAAAGTGCTATAATTTTATCTTATTTTATTTATTTTCTGGTTATTGTCCGGGCCCATTAATTTGAATTTTCATTGTCACCCACTTTCGTCTGCATGTATTATGTAACACGTTTTATTCAAGAGCCATAGGAAACAGTTCTCTGAAAACCCAATGTTTCGGTGGTTAGAACAATTAGTCTAACCAAAAGATCTATCCAATGTTTGTAAATTAGAATTTAATTGAACCGAATTCATTAATTCTACGAGGTTGTATTGCTTTTTTCGATTATTACAAAAGAGGGGAAAACATGTAAATTCTTTATTGAACGTGCCAAAAACAAATCTTAATGAACCGAATTCATTAATTTTTTTTAATAAAGTACACTATATACATAGTATTGATATATACCAGATCTTCAAAAATATTACCAAATATATTTGGAAATTTTATCAAATCCGAAAAATATATATTTAAAAATATTAATTATTATATTTATTTTACTTATTCAATATAAGATTCTCGTCTATTTATATGTGATTTTGATATTGAATAAAAAATATTATTCAGCCTAGTATGCGTATTTGTTTTGGTACAAAAATGCACCTAAAATTTTGGTTGGGTAAAATTATGATAAATATCAACGGATCCTATTCCTCGTAAAAAAATATATATATGGTGTATAATTCCGATTTATGTTATATTAAAATTGGTAGCAGCAGCACACGTTCAAGTCGCTGGATTGAGACACGTGTAGAAATATCTGCGGTAGACTTAACAACTTATCAGCAGCTCTAATTTAGTCACGTGCTTTAATTCTTGTAGAGGGTCTTCGCGGAAGAAAAATATCAACGCGTAAACTTCACGTCACCGTCCGAACGGCGGGTCCCACATCGTGGATCACAGAGCGACTGACGATAGTGGAGTTCGTTGGCCTCCGTCGAAATTTTCATGACTGAAATGCCATCGAATGTCACTCATAATCACGATTATTCGTCCAGTAGAGAGCTAACGCGATGGGCAAAATTGTAGATAGCTTGAATCTTGGGGGCAAAGGTTTTGTTGTCGCCGTCAACTCCTAACATGAAGCTGTAACGCCGTTAGATAATGTCACCGTCAACTCCTACCATGAAGCTGTGACGCCGTTAGATAATGTCGCCGTCAACTCCTAACTTTTCCTTTTTTTCCCGATTGCGGTGTGCCGTGTGCGCAAGGAAAACGTGCGGGAAATTATAACAAGAAATTGGTTTGGTTTTATTAAAAAAAGGATAAAAATGCACAAACCAACAAAAAAATGGGTAAACGTTTAGGGTTGTATTAAATTTTATTTTGTTTATTGTTATTATGTCCAATTAGTTTAATGTTTTCAATTAGCTTTTCAATTATTTTTCTATTTGATTTCAATTAATTTACTTTAGTTTTTAAGATATATATTTAACGAGTTTCTAGATTATATTCAGTTCATATATTATTTGATTAAATATAAATATAAATGTATACACCTATTCAACAATTAGTTGAAATGTGGTATGCTAATTGGGTTAGATGTCATTTTCATTATATAGAGAAAATATGGCGACTCGTCACTAACTGTTTCCATGTAATAATTTTAAAACCTCTGAAGTGATGCAAACTTAATTGTACATAATTTTTAATTGAAAATATAGCAAAACTACATGATTTTCTGAATATAAAAATTTATATTGAATGTAATTATGTAGATCCCCCTCATGGTAGTAGTGTATTCAGTCATATGTAGATCACACCATCATTTTGAAATAAAATTTGATTTTGTTCAATACATACCCAAATTCTTGTTGATTAATCAAAGAAAAATCATATATAAATATGATCTTTTATAAAAATCTTAAATAAATAACTAAACTATAAAATTTGTATATAGTTATCTGAAATTTTAAAAAATCTAAATTTTTTTAAAAATTTAAGAATTTATATGAAGATTTTCCGTTAATTAATAACCTTGTGTCATTTCATTTTCACCACAAAATATGATATTTAATGAAAATAAAATTAATCCAGTATGCCCATTTTTAAAAATCGGGTGAGAGGATAAAGCCATAGACACCAATTTGGCCAAGAGGACCATATTCATACCCACATGTGAGAGAGAGAGAGAGAGAGATCTCCGATTTTCTCAGTAACAAAGATCTCAGCTTTCTTGTTTGTTCGTCGCCGGAGCATGTCGGAAAATGCGACGCGACAACCTCCGGTGAAGTCGAATTTCGCCCGGAGATGTAATTTGCTGAGTCAGTATTTGAAAAAGAATGGAAATTTCGGGGGCATAGATCTCGGGTTGACCCGGAAGCCCGATTCTGATATCGGGTTCACCGGAAAACTCGATCCCGCCGGTATTTTTCTCTCTCCTCCGCCGCCGCCGCCTCCTCCGACCTTCTTTTTTACTTCATTCTCTGTTTTTCTTTTTGGTAAGCTAAGCTATTTTATTGATTGTTCAATGAAATTTCAGGTCAACAAAATGAGACGCCGAAGTCGGAAGCTCCGGAGATTAAACCCACCGGCTTCATTCAGAAGCTTTGTGGCGCCGTTCCCTCTGATTCGTCCGGAGGCGAAGCCAAAGACGCCAACGTCAGGTGCCGTTAATAGATTTCATATATCCACACTGACACACACACACACACATATATATATGTATAGACCGTATAATGATGCCAACGGTTTTTATACAGTTTAGTTTTTTTTTTCGTTTAAAGAAAGGGAACTTATGATCTTTTGAGAAGCTTGTAGCAGTACGAGAAAAAGGTGGAATTATGCATTCTGCTTGTGTACGTATATGCATATAGTCATATATATATATATACACGGACAACATAAACATAAATATATACAAACTTATATATAATATGACATAAATATACACAGATTCATTCGTATATACAAGTGGTGGCTTGTTGTGTCTGTAATTGGAGAAATGATGGATTGCCGGTTAATCATCCTAAACCGGATTTGGATCAATTTGGTATTGGTTTCAGTGAACCGGAACCGGCAAATTCCCAGTTGACCATATTCTTCGGCGGGAAAGTCGTAGTTTTCAACAAGCTCCCCACCGACAAAGCCAAGGAGATAATGGAGATCGCCAAACAAGCGAATCCCGTGAAGTTTCCGGCCGTTGTTGCGGTCGGTCCTGAGCCAGTGGCCGAGGATAACACTAAGAACAACCTCAAAGGCGACAACAGCAACAGCGACAGCGAACTGGTTATTCCAGATCTGAACGAGCCAACCAGTTCGGGGAACGGCAACAATCAACAGCCGGTGGAAAGAATAGCGTGGAGAGCCTCGCTTCATCGGTTCTTCGCTAAACGTAAAGACAGGTACACACTTGAAAATCATGGAGAGCAGAGCTCGTATATAATTCTAGATTTTTACATACCAGTATATTTATACTTTGGCCCGTATATATGAACTGCAAGTCGCGTTGTATAGGGTCGTGGCCAGAGCTCCATATCAGGTGATAGCGAGTCCGTCGTTAGATCGAGGCCATTCATCAGCACGCGCAAATGGACGTAAAGATAGATCCTTTGAGAAGGAGGATCAAGGACGAGAAGAGAGGTGGTGTTTGAAAGATCTAGAGCTGCGGCTATAGAGGAGGGGGCACTTTAGTTTGCTTTAGGCTTTAAAAGATCTTATTTTGGTGTTTGTATTATGATAATAATTACATCATCAAGCCAAACTTGGACAGTTCCCTCTTCCTCTATAGCCGCAGCTCTAGAGGAGCGACAAAACAGGAGACAAAACGTCTGTTCCGTTCCGTTCCGAACTGAAATATCAAATTTAGGAAAACAACATATATTTTAAATCACATGATGTCTTGAGAAGTTTGAATATCGATTCAGAATATCCGATTAACCAAAACAAATAATTATATTCATCTATATGTGTATTGGTTTAATTGGCAATCCTATTTGGAGACAAAAAGAAATATCACAATGATATTTTCTTTTTTTGGGAGTTTTAGATTTTTTATTTCAAAAAATTATAGCCGAATAATTTTTTATATTTGATACGGTTTTATTTTAAAAAATATACCCACCCTACGATGTAATATACTATATATTGAGGTATTTGAAAAAATAATGTTGGGCTTAGGCTTAAAGGGCCCAACATTAATTGGATTTAACTAAACCACAGATTTAGCCCAAGTTCCATGTTACACCAAAAAAAAAACCACACAATAATGGATGCCCACGTGTCTATATTAAGACCATATCATTAAAAAAAATCTTTTATGGGAATAATTATTATTTCATCAGCAATTATTCAAAATTATTATCCAAAAATTAAATACAGATATTCGTTTCACTTCGTAAAGGTAAATAATGTTAGAAAAAGAAAATCGAATGTCTAATTTTGGGCAAGTTGTACTGATCACGACCAGACAGATGAGCTGTCTAGTTGCAACTTGTTGACTTTGTCAAAAGGTCCACGTGGATCAATTAAATATCTTACCCGCAATTGGATTCATAAAGTATTTGTGCCCAATAAAGAAAAATTGCGATAATATATAATAAATTTACATGCGGTGGAATTCATGACGCCAAAAGTTATAATGAATGCCTTGGAACTTTTTATAATTAAACAAATAAATAAAATAAGCAGCCGATAGTGTTACTTATAAATAAACTTGTAGTATTATAAATCGATTTAAGAAAATGAAATTGTAATAAAAATAAACAATAAGGCTATTACATGCCGATTTCATTGTACGACCATAACATAAAATTATATTAATTTATGGCCCGTATGGTCTTCTACGTACTAATGCTGCTGCATCTAGTAGCTGTATTTGCCTTTTTGTGCCCTCGTGGACGGGTCCATCTGCATTGGACGCGAAATATAAAATCTTTTGAATGAATATGAAGTCGTAATATATATCCACCATAATGTTACTCGTGAAATTTAATTTAAAACCAAAGTATATTTTGAATTTTGATTTATTTAATTTCAGATATAATCTATGTCCGTACCTCATCCTCGAACAGTTCCTCTAATAGCTCTTGCAACTCTTCTAGAGTCTCTTCACCCTATCTACAAATAAACATCGATCATGATGATGGTGATGGTGATGGTGATGGTGATGGTGATGGTGATGACGATGATGACACTTACCGTAGATTTATGTTGATCCATCATGGTCAGCATCTCATTCAAGAAGTCACCCATGCCCTTCGCATGAATAATAGCCAAAATGGAATTAGAAATTCATAAAAATAATAAAACATATTATATATTTATATGGATAAGACATAAAGTATGAAAAGAAATGAAATTTACTACGAGAACCTACGAGTTCGTCGTCATCATCATCACTGTCATATGCTCCAACGTCATACAACAGCCTCTTGTTTGTGTCAGACAGGACTGTATTTTCATACATATCCAAAGTTATAAAAAAATGATAATAATAAGATGGGTTATCCAAAAGTTAACCGGAGAATCCGGTTAAACTTAAACCGGGTGAAATTACCAGAATATGAACGCTGAACCGACTGAAATTCCTTCTTGGCTTCTTCTCTGTCGCCCGGTTCTGAAAACCGGTCTGGATGCCATTTCTGTCCAAACCAAAGCAGAATCTTTTGGAATTCAGGAAAATCTTGAAATCCAGAGTCGTAGATTCTGGATACTCGATCGCTTTCAGGTACTGGATTGAACGGAATGAAAGTTAAGAGGCAAAAACGAAAAACAAAAAAAACCAAAGCAGAGCAAGGTTCTTGTAAGCGTGTCTGAGCTCTGCCTGTGTACATTCCTTGTCCAAACCCAGAATTCCGTACAAGTCTCCTTCGTTGTCCCCTTTCCCCTTCTCCATCGGCTTCTTCTTCTTCTTCTAGGTCACCAGAAACAGAGTATAAGAGAAACCAGAGTTCTGTCTGAGAAAATGAACAACAGAGAACGCAGAGAAATCCTTTTGACTTGCATGAACTAAATAGGGAACTATCAGAGAATACATATATGCATATAGTATACACGTGTGTGTATATATATACACACACGCACTCGTAAGAGGCAGAAAGAAAACTCGAGATACTGACCACTTGAGCTATTTGTTGATTTTTTTAACCCGTTTTTATTTTTTGGTATATTAAAAATCGTATGAATGTGTGTATATGCGTGTATGCATACGCAAGTACCTTATGAACATTCTAAAGTTCTTTATGAATTTAATATTAACATGTCGGCGAATGATTTTAGATATTGACGTAATGTTAAATTCATATGTTATTAATTATAATTTTATTTATACTACATAATTGAAGGTTTTAAATGATTAAATTTTATCTTTGTATATTTTAAACAAATCTCCAAGTAGTACAGGCATCTAATAAGAATCTTTAACACTAATATTATACTTAAATATTTTAATATGTAATCAATAAAATGAAAAGTTATTAGAGTATGGTGTTTGAGGGAATAATATCAAATGAAATTTGACAAATTAGTTAGTATATCTAGGGTTATTTTTTTTATTATTCGGTTTCAATTGCAACACAAAGAGTAACCATCAAGGTGTAAGGTTGTACGGAACAGTTATTTTTTTTTTTTTTTGTCAATGTTACCACTTCCATAGCAATCTTATGGTTTTTGTCCCTTAGGTTTATCCCATCAATTAATTTCACATGTAACAACTGACCGAAATCTTTGTTCTACATCCAAAAACACCTCCCATAAATCAATGAAGACAATACATACATACATACATACATACATACATACATACATACATACATACATACATACATACATACATACATACATACATACATACATACATTTTTTTTGTATGTAGCTAGTTTATCAACTTGGTAAGTGATATTACTTTTTTCTATTCCAAACACCAACTTGTCAAAAAGCGAGTCTTGTCCATCAACTAGGGCTGCTTAATACAAAATAAAGTATTTATTTAAGTCTATATATAGTGTATAATAACCAATATGTCAATAGAATAAAAAATGTATGTATACATATGGGTGTCGGAACAAAAAAAAAAAGTCTTGGAACCCTAAAACGTTTCAAGAGGTCCATTTTTACATTGGGCCTTCTTTACGGCCCTGCATTAAGACTTCGCCCATTTCTTCATCCACGTTGCTGAAATCGCTTGAAGGAATATCAAAACCATGCAGTAAACGACATTCCGGTACGAATTTAGTATACATATCCCATAAAAAAAAGTTATAAAAATACATCTCATATTTAGAAAAAAGCTATAAAATCACCATTTATAATTCTTTAAAAAGTTGAAAAATTGCTACTGATTTCTTGAAAATTTACAAAATACCTATATTTTCCATTAAGAAATTAGAATCGTAATGATCCTGCGTATTCCACTCGAAAACATATCCAGACTGACAAAGTTCTATCATCGATTTTCGGAAGATTTCAATTGTTTACCTTCCTCCTTTGGAATAGAAGAAAGACCAATCACAGATTCAATTCGTGCATAAAAAAACAGACTTATAGAGAAGATGATTCAATTACAGATCACTAAAATACAAAAAGGTCGGATTTTTCTTCGATCAGAAACATACCCACCAGGTTTCGATCAGAAGGAACCTCTCGTACTTCTCCAAGCGTTTGCCCTAAAACCCAACATTCTCACCGTCAACCGACAAAATTTCAGGCTTTGGCTTCGGATTATCCATTTTCTTCAACTGGGCATCTCCGATTTCATCCTCAGATCGCAGGTTCTTGCCGCTTCCGTTTTGGAATCCTCGATTTTGGCCTCTGGGTATCGCCTTGTTTATGCCCATTCTGTTGTTTCTGATACGAATCACCGGTTTTTAAGATTTTGCTGGCTCTGGGATTGGATTTTTCCGGTTTTCTGAAAACCAGAATCGTTGAAGCTCGAAGAAGGGAGGCTTCTTCGAAGACTTTGAATTCGACATCTTCGAGAAATACGAATCCAGTAAGTTGAAACAGAGAGGTTAAATCGAAGGAGAGGGAAGACGAGACGAGAAGGGAGCAAAACGCGGCGTTTTACAAAGTAAGGGTTATATCGGAAATAATGAACTGAGAGAAGGGTAAAAAGGGCATTAAGACGCTAGGGTTTTTCCCATCGTGAGCCCCCCCCTTTATATCGCTTCTTGGCGGCGTCGTTCCTCACCTCTTATCAACCCTAACGCCCCACCAGCGATTTCTGTAGCGGAAGCTTCTCTGCGTCTCTCTTAGGGTTTCTGGCAAAGGAGGGGAAAGAAGAGAGTAACAATGGCGGCGAATGGAGCTCCGGCGACTAAACAGTTGTCCCAGAAGGAGGCTGACATCCAGATGATGTTGTCTGCTGAGGTTCATCTCGGAACTAAGAATTGTGACTACCAGATGGAGCGTTACGTCTTCAAGAGACGCAACGACGGTATCCTCTGTTTATTCTTTTCGTTTTGTGCCCTTGTGTACGCATATGGACATTGATGGATGTATAAGATTGTGCCTGGAAGTGAGATCGTGCCTTAGTCTGGTGGATTTCTGTCGGAACGAAGCTTTCATTTCTTCATAGGCTCTCTGTAAACTATTGTGATTGGGATCATAATCTGGCCTTTTAGTACAAATGGTCTCGTAGTCTCTGTTCATCTGATTCAGAAACCCCTACCCAGTCGTGTTCATGCTATCAACGAATTTGGTCGTGTCTGTCGTATGCAATTAGAGATTTGTGCTCTGTTTTTTTGTTGTTGCATACGTTCTGAATCGTATCTGATCGGGAGTTCACAAGAAAGGGTTCGTTGACTGGGGTTAGATAGCGGTCTGAAAACTTTGTAGCCGAGGCATTGTTTTCTCAAAGATCTGAACTCGGATTCCATCATCTGATTCTCTTTTTAAATCTAAATTCATCACCTTTTGTGCAATTCATTCGGAGCCTTCGGCTTTAGTTGATCATTCATTCCAAGCCTTCGGCTTTAGTTGATCATTCATTCTTGATATATTTCAGTATTGTTAAACCCTTCCTATGTGCTATTGCTCATCAAATTCTCTTGCATTTCAGGAATCTACATCATCAACCTCGGAAAGACATGGGAAAAACTCCAGCTTGCTGCCAGGGTTATCGTTGGCATTGAGAACCCACAAGACATCATTGTCCAGTCTGCAAGGCCCTACGGACAGAGAGCTGTCTTAAAGTTTGCCCAGTTCACTGGCGCTAATGCCATAGCTGGAAGGCACACTCCTGGTACTTTCACCAACCAAATGCAGACTTCCTTCAGTGAACCCAGGCTGTTGATTCTTACCGACCCAAGAACTGACCACCAGGTAGATTCTTCCTTTCATGTTTGTCACATCTTTCTTTAGTCAATATTCACTGATGGGCTTTATTGTGTTTTTTTGGCAATGTTTGCTAATGTTCTATTGCCTCTTGCAGCCAATCAAGGAAGCTGCGCTTGGAAACATTCCCACCATTGCCTTCTGTGATACCGATTCTCCAATGAGATATGTTGACATCGGTATCCCTGCCAACAACAAGGGAAAGCACAGCATTGGTTGCTTGTTCTGGCTTTTGGCCCGCATGGTCCTTCAGATGCGAGGAACTATTCGCCCTGCCCAGAAATGGGATGTCATGGTAAAGCATAGTTCCATATCCCGAGTTCTGTTTTACAAGCCTTAGTTTGTCCAAACATGAATTGTTTGATCTTGCTATTCTCTGTTGCATGATAGTAGGGAACCCGCATGGAAATCTGTGTTGAGAATGTTGATCGGATCTTTGCAACTTTCAGTGTCCATTCTGTACGAATTTGATTGATAATCTTTGTCTGGATATCCGATCATATGTTCTTTTCTCGGCAGGTGGACCTGTTCTTCTACAGGGAACCCGAGGAGGCCAAGCAACAGGAGGAGGATGAGGCTGCTCCCCAGGCCGACTTTGGACTGCCTGCCCCTGATTATGGAGTCGGTGCCATCGGAGACCAGTGGACCACTGCTCAGATCCCCGATGCCGCATGGCCGGCCGAAGCCCAGCAACCGATCCCAGCCGTTCCAGCTGTTGCTTCCTGGAGTGAAGCTGGGGGTAAGTTTCTACAGTTAACTGGTTCAGTGTTGTCCTTTGGCTTGGCTAATCTGATGTTATCGTGTCGGTGTTTTTCCAGTTCCGGTCGCCTCAGATGGATGGGATGCTGTTGCCCCGCCGCCCGCTGCTGCTCCCGCTGCCAGTTGGGATTAAATTTCAGCCGTTTTTGGATGGAATCTGTTATATCAGGGATAGACATATGTCTTTAAATTGCCTTTGAGATGGAATAGCGGTCGGACTCTCGTTTTTTGTTTTTTCATCTCTTGAGAACTTTTAATGCTAGGGCTTTTACGTTTTTTTATAAAAGTTTTTATCATGGTGTTTTTTTAATAAAAAATTCTAATTTTATCTTTAATTAAAATTATCAAATTTGAATAGAATATTAATATGGGTATGATTCAATGAAGGTATATATGAATTTTTAAAATCTTCTTAAACATTGTGAAAGATCATTGATATAAACTTTGTGAGAAGCGTCGACGCTCTCTTGCTTCAGTCCCCATGCGACAGAGGACCACTACTTAAAAACCCTACCTTGTTGCTCAAGCAACTGCCGGAGATCCCCCAAAAAAAAAAACCCTAAAACCAGTTGCAGAAAGGAGATAGAGATGAAGGAAGAAAACCTAAAATCACTTCATCTTTATATCCCATGCAAATTTTGTGGGCTTCGGTTATTTTTGGATTCCGGTTCTTCGGTTTCAAAAAAATTATACGCATGAATGATTTTTTTTAAAAATGTTTGGATTAAGTTCGATCCAAATTCAATTTTTATCGATAAAAATATTCATTTTAAATTTTATTTTATTTTATTCAACTTTTAGATTATTTTCAGTTTTGAGAGTTTGAACTTTTAGGTTTTAGAATAAATAAAATTATTTGATTTTTTTTATATATCGGATTCGGTTGAGATTATTAATGTGATCAACTTACAGTTGATTTTTTCCCTTGATATTATCTTATTATAATATAAAGGAAAAAATAATTTAATATGGATAAACTCAAATGTAGATAAGGATTGCTTACAAATATGTATAACAATTGTTGTTCAAATCAAATATATAGTTTAAATCGTTCTTTACTTTTTTGTGCAGAATTCTTAATTATATAAGGAATATAACTCCTAATATAATTAAGGAATAAAATCAAATAGGAAATATAATAAATGGAAACTCTAAAATCATGCGAACTTTCCATAGGTTTCGGTTACTCCTTATCATAATACTCCCTCCGTTTCAAAATATTTGTAGTTTTAGTTTATTTTCCATGTTTCAAAATATTTGTCATTCTACATTTCCAAGATAGTTTTTTACAATAGTTTCCAATTTTATCCCTCCCAAATTTCAATAAATTATTAGTGATAACATTATTTTTATCATTAAATAAGGTTATATGTGTCTTTTTCTCTATTTTCTTAAAAAATGTGAAAAATCCTAAAACTACAATTAATCTGAAACGGAGGGAGTAGCATTCTGCTTCATTACGATCGAGGCTATAAAACATACCCTAAGCTTTGGCGAGCAAAAATACAGAGGCCTCTCGAGATCATAAACCCTAAAAACCCCACAACGTATTCTTCTTTGAAAAAAATAAGAAAACCCTAATCATGGCAGCTAAGCTTCTGCGAAACGACGTTAACTTCGTTCTCAGGTAAGCGTAACGCCCCTCAATAGATAGACAGATTTACATCGATTATTGTAGTTTGTGTGTTTAGGGTTCATGGTTTCGGACGATAACTTTGGCGAATTTGGTTCGACGAGTTCGCATATTCTTGTATTTATTCGGTATTTACTCGAGTATTTCTATGTTGTTCGAAGATTAATGGATATCTATTGAGATTATTAAGGTTTACGTAATTCTATAGTTTAGAATTATGGGTGGGCATGAGTACTTGAAAACTGCGGATTTTTGGATACCCAGTCTCACGGTATATAACGAAGACAAAAACGAGTTCAATAAGACCAAAAATCTGGATTGCGGATTTGAGTTAGGTTTTTGTTTGAACGGCGACGGGTGTCCATAAAATGACGATTGTATCTTTAATATTTTAATATAATTACAATACTTACTAAATATATTTTCAAATTAAATTACTAAAATACCCATGAAGCCAACAAAAGTATCATTTTTTAAAGATTTGGACGAGTTCAAGTATCCTTGGGTAATCGTATTCAGCGACAGAAATCTAAACCGCAGGTATCCGGGTTTCACAAAAACAAAAACGAGATAATATTTTTTTAAAACTCTTCAAAACGAGACGAAATCTGGATACCCAAAAAATCAGGTATACAATACGACCCACATCCACCCTAGTTTAGATACATGATGTTCTCATTTGTTTTGATTTTTTTTTTAAATATTAGAAGGTATGTTCCTAATGGGATTATAAATTTTACGAGAGAAAACTACGCTGGGGACTATCAATAACAGTAACAACAAATGGGATAACATATTTTCACCATCTCTAAATTTAAGAAAAAATTAGGGATATATACGAATTATAGATATTATCTTTGGAGGTTTTGTGATGAAATATGTTTCTAACTTTTATTTTGTTTTGGGGGGTAGGCGATGGTTCTCGGCCGCAGTAGAGAAATCTCGAGGAGATAAAGCGGCGGCAGCCGAGATGAAGAAGATGGCTGCTGGAGCAAAGAACGAAGGTGAAGAGATGCAGATATTTTGGATGAGAGATCCCAAGACCGGAAACTGGTTGCCGGAGAATAGATTTAACGATGTCGACGCCGTCGATTTGAGACAGAAATTCCTCTCCAAGAAGATCAACCATTGATCCATCATTTGTGTTATATATTAATACAATTCTTTTATGGTTTGGTTGAATTCGTGGTTTAGAAAGTGTATCACAAATTAAAAATAAAAAATCGAAATAGAATTTGTTTTGGTTAGATTTTTATTCCATTAATTTTGTTCATCCTAGAGCTTGGAGAAATAATTTTTTTTAAGTGAGATAAAATGTTAATCAACTACGCGAGATTGATCATAAATGTTTTCCGTGGTGACATTTGAAATATATATAAATATACTTATATACACACACACACACACATATATATATATATATATATATTATTCACAAAACATACGATATGTAGAGTGTTATGTGGAAGTTCAATTCATTTCATATTCTATTTGAACCATATTTTAAAACAATTTGTTTTTATTTAAAATTACCAATGATTTTTATATTTAATTTGGACTCAACTAACGATTGAATTTCACGTATTCCAACAATAGATTCACCGGTTTGGAAAAAAAAAGGAAAATTTCGATTATTTCAAAAAATTTAATATACACGTCACATAAAAACGTGAAACAATATATAAAACACTAACAGGCGAACATTGTCCTCTCCATCTCAGCTCCAAAAACTCAGGAACAAGAAGAACCTAGATGGCATTTCTGTTATTAAGTTTTCTCTCAAAAGGAAGAGCTGAATCTGAAAAATCTCCATCCGGAATCTTGTCTTCCTCCGGAAGTAGGGTGCATCTGAAGTGCCGTGTTCCAGGAACCTGACACAACACACAAACACACAGATATATCAAACCCTAATCTCCAAACATCGAGGAGCATAAGCTTTTTTTGTTTTTTTACCTGTCCGAATCCAGAACCAGACAACGACTATTCCGGTGGCGTGAAGGCGTTTAGGGTAAAACGCGTCCGGTGCTGACAGTCACAAAAAAAAACAGGCCGGAGAAAAGGGAGCAAGTAAACGACGAAACGATCTGTTTTAGACTTTTTTGAGTTAATGGGCTTCTATAAAAGCCCAATAACTCTATTGGGCCTTAATGAGGCCCAATATTGACTTTAACTGCCGACGAAACGACGTCGCTCTAAGTAACAAAAGATACCTAACTTAACTTAACTCTACCCTCAGGTTTTTTCGAGCCTTTGTAGTCGTCTTCTCGCTCTCCATCAGCACCCTTGAGGTCAGCTCTCTCCACCGCTTCTGCTTTTTGTGGTTTCGTTTATCTTTCATTTTTTTTACTGTTCATCCTTCTTTTCTCTTGTCTGCTTTACTTTCAGATTTGCCTGCGTTTGTTCCTCTTGCGTTGTCTCGTCGTTAACGGCTTAACTGATGAACGCCGACTTGAAAAACTAGAACCTGGGCTTTGTTTAATGCTTTGATTTATAGAGCTTAGTTTTGAGGAAAAACGGAAACTTGGGTTTTGTTCTTTTTATCTTATTCTACGTTTTATGCTTTTAAGAATTCAGGCTGGAATCTGATTTCGCATATGTGGGTTGGAGGGGTTGGTCCCCAAGAGGTTGGTCAATTTCGACATTGTTGTGTTGTTTATGCCTTTTGTTAAGGTAAGTGTTTGAGTTGGAATAGAAGTGTTTATTGTTTTCATGTTACAGGGTTTGGTCCTAATCTTGCAATTTCACTTTTCTTTTGGTTCATCATATGATTAAGCGAGAAAGAATGTGTGTCCGGAAGAATGTATAGCTGCTCTTTTTTTAGTGCTCGTTTGTGGGCTTCGAGTTAATAATCTCTGGAAAGGTGTTTTTTGTGTGTGTGTATGTTTATGTGTTTGAACTATTATTTTCAGATTGTTGGATTTGATATTTATTGTAAATTTTGAATATTTTGCAGAATTAAACTGCTGTTTGACATAGTTGATTAGGAAATACATGGTTTCAGTTGGTTCGAAATCTTTGCCATCTAGTAGGCTCAGGACCACTGAGGAAGATAGCTTGATGGGTGGAGAGGACAGTTCTTACAACAATCATAGTAAAAAGAAGAAAGGAATGTGTCGGAAGGCTAGAAAAGGAAGCCATGGATTTGATGGAGATGGTCACAACAAAAATCAAAGAGGAGGTGCTGCCAATGTAAAGGCAAAGTCGAGGAAAATGTCGACACAGCAATCTGAATCGGAACCTCAGAAACCGTTTGTCAGGTAAGATTTCAGTCCGAGGCCCGTGCAGTAGATTTGCTGTGTTGGGTGTCTTTAGTACTGTGGAATCAGATATGTTGGGAAAGGGCTCTGATGTTTCAGGCTAAAAAATTTTGTAGGAAGCAGATTGATCCAGAAACTTCAAAGTATTTCTCGGAAATTGCCAACCTATTTGAAAGTAATGAAGTTGATTTAGAGGAACGGTCAGTTATATGTGGAAATGCCCTTGAAGAAACAAGAGGGAAGGAGTACGAGATTTCAACAGACTACATTGTGAGTCACGTACTTCAAACACTTCTCGAGGGATGTGAACTTGACCATCTTTGTAGTTTCCTTCGAAACTCTGCAAAGGTGTTCCCAGGCATTGCAATGGACAGATCCGGTTCTCATGTTGCAGAATCCGCTCTTAAATCATTAGCATCACATTTGAAGAATCCAGACGCATATTCTGTTATTGAGGAAACATTGAATGAGATATGCAAGGTAAGAGGATATTGCCTCTTGTTATGAAATTAGTGATTGTCCCTTCTCTAATCCTATAGTGATTGAGATAATGAAGCAAAGAATTTTTCTCTCTTGGTCAGGTGATTGTGGATAATCCCATTGATATGATGTTTAACTGCTATGGGTCTCATGTTCTCCGGAGGCTTTTTTGTCTTTTTAGAGGAGTCTCTTTAGATTCCTCAGAGCTTCATGGAGCAAAGTCATCGAAAGTTCTAGCTGAGCGTTTGAATTTGAGGACATCTCAGCCAGATGGGAATAATCTAGAAATCCACTATCCAGGATTCCCTGATGTGTTCAAGTCCCTCCTATCAGGGATATTAAGGTGTAGCCGTGAGGACATGAAGTATCTTCAAGTTGATCAGTACGGTAGTTTAGTGTTCCAGGCAAGTTATTTAGGTCCTTGTCTGGCTTTTATTTTCGTAGCATCTTCTTACCTTTTGAAATGTGATTTAATTTCCTGATCTACTCTCATCTCATACTCGGAAATTGCTGTGACATCTTTGCTTGGCAGACGGCTTTGAAACTTATAGCAGGAGACAATGATGAGTTGCTTGAAATCATTCCTCTCATTCTTGGATGCAGTAATGAAAAGATAGAAGACGGGAATCGTGTAGAAACCAATGTTGCCGGTGACATATTAGAGTCACTGAAGGAAAATTCATTCAGTCATTTGATGGAGGCAAGTCTATTAAATCTTTAGTATTTTTTTTGTCTTGCAAAAATACAACTTAGGATAGGCATTTTCTGACATACAAACATGGGAAAGGTGACCTATAGTATGTGCTGTTTGTCATTTATGATAGTTTATTGTCTGTTGGTTTTCTTGATTTAGTCGGACTTTTGATCTTATTAGATCTTTTTCCAAATGCACTTCAAATGCTTTTTCAGGTGATTTTGGAAGTGGCCCCTGTAAGCTTGTACAATGAAATTTTCGACAAAATTTTTAAGAATTCTTTACTCGAACTTTCACTGGATCGCTGTGGGAATTTCGTAATCCAAGCCTTAGTTTCCCATGCAAGAGACACAGGCCAGGTATTTTTACCATACAGATACTTTCCTACCTTTTTTTTTTATTTCAGCATATAAACTTGTCTCTCCAGATACTTTTAACCATGAACCTCTCTATAAAATCTCTTCAATCCGGTATATATCGCTCAGGACTTGTAATACGTTCATGTGTTTTTATTTGCAAGATGAGTTTGATATGGGATGAATTAGGTGCACATTTCAGAGATCTGCTTGAACAAGGGAGGTCGGGTGTTGTAGCTTCTCTGATTGCTGCCAGCCAGAGGCTTCAAAGCCATGAACACAAGGTTTTAATGCAGTCAGAATTTTTCTAATTCCCTTTTTGCTGGAATTATTTTCATGAAATTCATTCATACAGAGGAATCTTACCGATTTGACAGTGTTGTGAGGCCCTTGCTGCAGCAGTATGCTCAGAGAACGGTTCTCGTAGCTGTATTGTTCCACGGCTTCTGTTTCTTGACAACTACTTCGGCTCTCAAAACAAGTCTGAATGGGAATGGGCAACTGGCTCTAAGATTCATGTTATGGGCTCTCTGATTCTTCAGGAGATCTTCAAATTCTCTAGCGTACGTTTCCTGTTATTCACCAAATTTGACTATACCCTCTAGTAGTTAAAGCTTAACGTATCATGATCTTAGTTGGATTTTATATGTTCCTGTCCCATGTCGGTCCATCATTTTGCTCTCCCATTCTCTCCACTCCAGGATCTTATACAGCCTTATATAGCAAGCATGACTTCTATAAAAGACGAGCAAACCATTGAAGCAGCAAAGGATGGTAGCGGAGCGCGTGTCATCGAGGCTTTTCTTGGTTCAAATGCTGCTGTAAAGCAGAAGCGCAGATTGGTTATGAAGTATGCTTTCTCTACTGTTTCTCTATGGTTATTTGTTTATTCCATTCATGGCCAATAAATTCCACATTGTTACTCAGATTTATATCATTGTGATGGATCACATGGAAATACCTCTTTTATTACCAGTTTCTACTATGGACATTTTTTTTACGTTTTACATGTTTTTGTTAATTTTGATGTCTTTTTTTCCCCTTTTGATCTGATATTTCTTCAGGTTACGTGGGCACTTTGGTGAGCTCGCTTTACACTCTTCGGGTTCATTCACTGTTGAGAAGTGCTTCAATGCAAGTAACTTGACTCTAAAAGAAGCCATAGCAACTGAACTGGTGGATGTGGCAACCAATCTCTCAAAGACAAAACAAGGGCCCTACTTGCTAAGGAAGCTAGACATTGATGGGTAAGCTATTTTATGGAAGCTTTAATCCATTATGTTGTAACTGATATCACCTGAGTAGAAAAATATGCTCATACATTACGCTCTAAGAGAAAAGGTGAAGCGAATCTCAAATACGTAGAGCCCTTGAAGGGAGAGATTCCTGTTTTGTTGATACATCAGTTTACTATTTTGTTGCTGCAGATATGCAGCCAGACCTGATCAGTGGAGATCAAGACAGGAGTCGAAGCAATCAGCGTATAAAGAATTCTGCTCTGTATTTGGCTCGAGCAAATCAAATTCATCAAAGAACACTTTTCTTTCTGACGCAAGCAAAGATGCATCTCAAGCAGATGGACTAAAGGACATGAGAGACGAGATCGGTCATCGTCTTGGTTTTGGGTCATCAAAACGCTACCGAGAGGAACACAGAGGGACTGAATATGAACCTCGCAAAAAGACGTTGAAAACGAAAAACACAATGGGTGAAGTGTCATCTGAGAAAGCAGTCACCAACAAGAGGCCTTTCCTCTCTGGAGAAACGACTGGGAAGACTGGGACGAAGCGGCAGACGAAGAAGCTGAGATTCTGAAGGTTAGATTTCACACTTTGTGACCCTCTTTACCTCATATCAATCTCGCGAAAGCTTGCATCTTTATAGTTTCCAAGTTATCGCCGTTATGTTTATTTCCTCAATTGGATAAAGAGGACCCTTGGGCTAAGATTTATCTTACAAAAATGCTAGTAGAAGTCATATTTTCTCGTTGCATCACTAACATGTAGAGCTCTGACTCAATGGTCTTTGAGCACTTTCTGGGTCGGATAGGATTGAAACGCAGATTGTGTAGTAGCAAAATTATAAGATCATTTTAATCTAAGAAAAGAGAAAAAATAGAAATACTGCATCTATGGTTTTCTTGCTATGGTGGTATGCTGATTCCTACTTCCTTCGAGATCTATAGGGGGATCGATCCTGGTACAAAAATACATACCTTTATGTCAGTTGACTGCAGTTTCAGAGGAAGACATGAAAGGAGCATACAGGGTGTGTAAAAGATTGAAGGTTTGACTGTTTTCTTTACTTGTTCTGTATAGGGTTTGAGCCACTCCTTGGAACTCTCCGGAAGCTACCGGCTTCACCTCTCAAAGGCTCATCCTTCATCTTCTTGTTTATCTGTAAATCTCTAACATGTTCAGTAGAAGGCGAACCGGCTGAAGAATATCTTGCCCTCAAAAGGGGACGACCCTCTGCACATTCCTTGCCGCTCAAGAAAGCTAGTAGCAGCAGAAAAATAGCTGCAGAAGTTCGAAATCTCTTCATTGTGTGAATTCTCTTTCGTTTTTTCCCCCTCCCTCACTGTATCTGTGTTTTGGAGCTTTTGGGGTGTTCTGTTCCTGAGGCTGCAACTGTGAAACTTTAGAGAGAGAGAGAGAGAGAGAGAGAGAGAGAGAGAGAGAGAGAGAGAAAGAGAGATGGTGGAAGACTTCAAAATAGGATAGCTTCTGTCCGAAAACTTACTCGTTGGGATCTGATCACGTGATCAAGTTTGACTGCAGTTATCTTATCTCACTAATCTTTTTCTTTTCCTTAGTTTATTTTTAGATCATGTTCAATTCCTTTGTTTAGATATGTATTAGGTGAGATAATTATCATAATCTTGCTACTGATATTACACATTAACCTCTGAATCCTTCGCTAATTACACGCGCACACAGTCGTGTGTAATAGCGTGGTAGATATGTAAATACGTGTTCCTTCATGAGATGTGATCATGTGATTAGGGCACGTGATCTCTGCTACTGTTTTTGTTTTTTTCTTTTCTCATTGGGAAGCTCATCAAAGACTGAAAACTGGGTTGTGTCATTTGTTTATGTCTGAGATTTAAAGTCTTAAACATTGGAAGGATTAGGTAAATCAGTTGCAGGTAACAGCTGTTTTGTCTTTCTTTGCTAATAATCACGTTTTCAATACCGAATAGTACCGGGATACAGTTACAAAACTAATAGCGAACCGGATTCCACCTGAAATAGAAAACACCGAACCGGAATACCAAATCAAAACCGGTCGGTTCAATTGGGCTTTTCTCGGTTTGAACAAAACCAATCATGGTTTGGTCCCATGTCCTCTCTCTCTCTCTCCGACGAAAAAGAAGAGAGACGACAGGTAATCAACGAGAAACCCCCTTGAGGTTCTCTCTCGGAGAATTTCGATTCAGGTGCTGAATTTAGTTACGATTTTCCCAATTTTTCTTGGATCTGATGTAAAAGTTTCGGAATTTCCTTCTCTGCGTTTTCTTCGGCGTGATTTTCTGTCCCCTTTTTCGCCTTCTCTGTGAGAGCGAAGCTAGAATTGCAATTGTAGCTTTCGTCGAACTGGGGTTTTTGCTTTAGGTATGTGGGTTTCCCTGTGTTGGAAAGTTTATTGGGTTTATTAGATTTTGATCGATACGATTTGCGTCGATCCGTGTTGTTTAAGTTGGCGCTTTTGCAAGGTCTATTGAACGGAAGGAATTTCAGACTTGAGGTATTTTTTATGGGATACTTAGAGAATTTTCTCCTACCCAGTTGGAGTTTGATCGCTTGCTGTTTCGAATGGATTTGGCTGAATGTGTTTTTTCTTTTTACAAATCTTTTTAGTATTTCATGGACTTGTGGATTTTTAGGGGTTTCCGTTGAAAGGTGTTTCTGTTTATTCCGTGATTGAAAGATGATACAGGTGTATAGTTTTCATCAGTGTCACCTCTGTCTATTTCCTGATTCGATGTTTCTTCTCCTTGTCTGTTCATGTAACTTTCATCAAGGTTGAGGTAATCATGGTCTCTTTTGACTGTTCTCTTGTAGGAATTCCTATGGTTATCTTGTCGTTTAATAAGTAGGTTGGTTTTCTGCCTGTAGATTGTTACATTATGTTGATTTTGATGATGTCTTTAACAGGAATTAGCATAGTCTGGAGCACTTCAATGGCAGAGAAAGCTTGTATTAAGCGCCTTCAAAAGGAATATAGAGCACTTTGCAAGGTACACACATCTTCCTGTTCTGTCCCTGCGTTACTGAATGGGAATCATGATTCCCCGGTTTCACTATCATCGAGTCAACCGTTATCTGTAAACTTCTCAAACTTTGTCATATTTATCTGTACACGCAGCATACCGTGGTTTTATATGTGGAAAAAGTTGTGTGATCTTTTTTTGTTACCCTGTGAGTATATTTGACAGTTTCTTTTATGGTCCTGTAGGAACCAGTGTCCCATGTTGTTGCTCGTCCTTCCCCAAGTGACATTCTTGAGTGGCGTAAGTATTTGACGGTTTTTTATTTCTCGGTTATCTCTTATTTGCTTTCTAGGCCTCTTAGAAAATGTTTGATGTGGTCCTATAGAGGTGTTGATATGAGGTATATGTTAGAGTCCCACATCGGAAATATGTGGGAACAATTGAGTCAATATAATACCATGGGCACCCTCCGGAACAAGCTAGCTTTTGGGGTGAGTTCTACCCATGGGCTTTGAGACTTTGTTGGACCCATTATTAATGGGTGGGTTCTATCAGTATATAGGATGAAACTGCTGCAAGTCATATGTTTCCTTTTCTGGGCATGTACTAAAAGTATGAAATAGCAGGTTGCACTGTTTCAGTGATGTGGCTACACCATGTGGTTTTAACATTTCCGTGATTATTAGGGATATGAAGTGGTGAAGACTTTTACCAAAGATTTATAGAACTTTGAAGTGAAATCCTAGGAACTTGCTCACCGATTCTGGTTGTCATGTTTTACCTGGTGACAGTTAGGATTAACCAATTTGAAATGTTTTTTTTTTCTTTAATAATTGTTCTGTGTATATTAATATAGTTAAAAAGGGTTGCTTCTGACAAGAGCTGAACTATTGGCTTTAATGTTACAGATTATGTGTTGGAAGGCAGTGAAGGAACACCCTTTGCTGGTTGAAATCTTCTTCTTACCTAGTTTGTAAATCGTGTTCGTCTGCATTCCCTAGGCAGTGTCTGATTTTAATGCTTGAAATTCTCTTTGAAAGGTGGATTTTACTATGGAAAGATCAAATTCCCTCCAGAATATCCGTACAAGCCACCTGGAATTACGTATGTATCTTTAGCTCGTCCTATATTTTTCTCACCATCTCTCTTCTCTCAGTTTTAGACCGGCTTCTGATAAACCGATGAATTCATTTGGCTGCAGAATGATCACACCAAACGGTAGATTCATGACACAAAAGAAAATCTGCTTGTCGATGAGTGATTGTAAGTTGCATTCTGCACTGTGTAGTTGATTTCTTCTTCTTTCCAAGTAGTTGGTCGGATATCTCATTATCTTACAATGGGTTTTACAGTTCATCCAGAAAGCTGGAACCCAATGTGGTCTGTGTCAAGGTATAGATCTTTCTTCTGATGCAATCCCATCTTTCTTTTGACTTCGACGTCACTTTTTCCTCAGGGAAGCTAAGATCTATATCCCCATATTTGACCGTTTCCTTTTTCAAAAGTGCAGTATTCTTACAGGACTTCTCTCATTCATGGTAAGCTCATTGTAGATTGTTCAAATGATTTCCCTCTTTGTTGACCCTGGCCTCACAACTTTTGTTATGAAAATATCATGTTTTTGTTTTGTAAATCCTGAGATTGATATGTCTATGGGGAACTGGAGCTGGATATTACCTTTGTATATTTGCTTTGTCGGTTGATCTAACAGATCATTTTTGTTTCCTTTGTGCATATTATATCGCTTTCTTCATTGTAAGACTTGTCTCGAAACAACATTTTCCTTGTGCAGATGGATAACAGCCCTACAACCGGAAGTGTGAACACAACTGCAACCGAGAAGCAACGCTTGGCTAAATCGTCTCTTGCTTTTAACTGTAAGAAGTAAGTAATTTTCTAAAACCTGCGAGTTCTTTTAGTTTAGGTACTTTTGGGATTTACACTTCATCTCAAAAAGTTGATTAGAAAACAATATAGGAAGTCTTGAAAGGTTTCTGCTATATTTTGCCATTGAGTCACGCAGAACCATAAATGCATGTTGAGTTTTAGGCTTTACCGTCATCTTCCCTTTGAAGAGACAATTTGCTTATGCTGTTCCATGGTACTCCACTGGATGATTGAACTTTGAATTGATGTGGATGGTGTTCATTCTAGTTTTCAAATTACAAGAATTGTCTTCTGGGATATGACCCTGAATTATAATAGTTTAAAGATACAAGTCTTATAGGATTCTGTCTTCATAGGCTTCGAGCCTAGTGAACACCTGAAACGCAGAAGCCAATGCCTGAGTCATAGGTTGCGTTAATGCTCGTGTCTCTGTTTCGCTTTTCTCAACTAGTTTTCGCTGTTGTTTTCCCTTGTGAAAGCCCGACATTCCGGAAACTATTCCCCGAGTACATAGAGAAGTACAACCAGCAGAAACTACCCGAGCCACTGGAATCTCCTCGAAAACCAGAGTCGGAGAAACTCATCGACCAAACGAAGGAAGGGCTGGGCGGCTTGAACAAGAGAAGGATGGAAAAGAGACAGTCCTTGCCCACTTGGATAATACTCTTGCTACTGTCTGTTTTCGGGGTTGTAATGGCTTTGCCTTTGCTTCAACTCTGAGCATCTGCAAACAGAACTCGTTGGTAATCTTCCACTCTCTCTCGGCTTGATTTTGCATCGACTCCAAATCTTCTATATATATGGTAGGAAACATTTGTATAGGCATGCGACTAGTGATTGCTGTTGGAAAATTTACATGTTTCTGCCATGTTTCTCATGTTGTTCTTGAAGCTCTCAACAATGATAAAACAATGTTTGGTTAGTGAAAATATGAAAATTTTATTTACTCCTATGGACTTACTTCCATTGATTTCCCCGGGCAGATCGGAAGTATGTGTCTTGAGCAATTAAACAAACCCTCCTCACCTCAGGAGCCATGGGACCTGTTTACTTAGTTGACCTAAATGTAATAATACTTCAGAAACATCTGTAAGTAACTTTGTGGGGACAGTGTAGGTGAGACCTTTAAACTTGACAATCAAACCCTAAAATAAAAGCTTTTCAGACATAGCCAGAAAAGAGCCGAGACAGTAGAGAATTCATACATCTTCAGGCAAATCTTAGCTGACATTATCTAAGTTACAGTCTTTAAGCATCAGTGGCAGATGCAGATGCAGTGGAGCTACTCCCACTTCTACAAGCCACTCTCTTGTCTCTGCTCAAAAACCTCTTTAAAGACCTCAGCCTCGTCGTCATTGGAGATTTCGGCTCTTCATCCTCGACAAGAAACCTTGTCGAGGATGAAGAAGAGGACGGTGCGTTTTGACCTGTGTTTCCATTGCTAATCTCCAGAACAACAACTGCCTCTTGAACTCGAGAATCTTCGAGAGGTGCAGCATTGTTGTTGCCTGTGCTAACCTGATCCTGGCTGCCCCAAACCAATACATTGGTGGGGAAATTTGAAGATTCAGGTGAAGAACTTGGATTTGGAGACTGAGTATCATGGTTATTGGTACTGGCTGCAACAGCTGCATTGTCTGAAACAGGATCAAATTGGTTCGAACTGGCTTGTTCTGGACCAAGAACCGTGTTTCTGCAAATGGGACAAGTTGAGTGAGACTGGAACCACATGTCAATACAATCAGCGTGGAAACTGTGGTTGCAGTTCGGAAGCAGCCTTGCTTTGTCGCCATTGACAAGCTCAGACAAGCAAATGGCGCATTCCAGTCCGTCTTTGAAGGTTACTTGTCTGAAAACCACAGTGGGTAGGGAACTGAGTTGAGAAGGACTGAGACCGGTGTTTCGCAGGGAATCTAGGCCCGGGACGAAGATGAAACGGCCGCGATGGCGGCGTGTGAGCTGCGGCGGAGCGGGTGACTGTTGCTGTTGTTGCTGGTCCATGCGCCAACAGTAAAGCTTGGCGTGGAGATGGAGCAGAAGAACGAACAGAACCGCCATGAACAGAACGATGATTGCTGTAAGAACTATCTTGCTCGCGAGTTCTTCGGTCGTTAGGTTACCGAACAAGGAACTATGAGCATATCCATCGTCGTCCTCCATTGATGGCTATGGCGTTTCTCTCTCTCTCTCTCTTCTCGTTCCTGCAATCGCACAAGATCAGAACTTCTGCCCTCTGTAGAACTAACTTCGAGAAAATGAAGGGGGGGACCAAAATTAATTAAATAATCCAGGAATACTTCAACTTGAGCGCGAATCCCTGAACAAGAAACCAGAAATCCGGCAGAAAGATCAAGGTTTGGGTCCTGATCACTGTTTATGCCAAATTAGGGTTTTTGGAGAAAGCAAGAGGAAAAGTGGCAAGGCAAAAAATACAAATTTCCCTAATTTGGTGAGTGCCCAGATGAGAAGAGCTAAACCCCAGCAAAACCCAGATGGACTTATCGATGACAGAGCCGAAATCTGCAGAAGCAGAGCTAAAAGATCGAGACTTTTTGGATGATCAGCAATGGGTTCTATCCAAAACTAGGATTTTTGGGGGGAAGATCGAAAGATGCCGAAAGAGACGAGATATGTCCAACGAAAGGCAATGTGGGTTCTTTCTCTCTCTCTCTCTGGTGTCAGCCATGGCAGAGACGGCTACGAAGGATGATAAAGAGGCAAACGAGGGAGACAGACGACATCAGTAAAGATCGGTCCCACGTTCATACGCCATTGAAATGAAGTTGGGGTGGGGGAGCAACTTCATCCTACTTAATCTACTCATTCTCCCTCCATTTTTTTTCCCAATTAATCACAAAATTCATCTAATGTTGCCGTCGTAATCCTATGCTTGATTGCATTGTTTATTCCGCATGTACACGAAAATTTGGGAAAATTAATTAACATTGAAATAGATTTGTATATTTTTTTTTACGATCTTCCTTTTTATTTTGGCGACACAATTTGATAACATAAGATGAAAATGGCTAAAGCTCTAGATTCTAATTGGGCTGAAATTTTAAATTATAAAAAAAAAAGATAAAATGGCATCGGAGAATTCACATCCCAGCCTTCTCTATTCTATACAATTTCCAAATTCTTGGACCATTTTTCATGGGCCTAAATTGTGAGCATAGATATTTTGGTTAGGCCCAATAGATTTGGGTATGCGATTACTAAATTTGGGCCTTTTTAATATTGTTGGATGGGTCGTAAACCATACCAAAATCCAATGGGACGAACCCAAAATGAATGGAGTTTAAATCATTTAAAAAAATAATAATAAATCGAATAGAAACAGACATTTTTAAGTTAAATTAATAGATTTTAAATTAAAAATATAATCAAAATAAAAACGCCTTTAGAAATCAAAAAAATTAGAATCGAATTAAAAACCGATAAAACATCGGATGAAAATAGATTTATAAATTTAAGATAACGATTTCCAAAATAATCCAATCAAAATATGACCTAAAAATGTGCACCTCCTCCTAACCTAAATCGTTAAACCGGTTCGATCATCAATTCAAAGACGAGACCGGTTCGGTAACCAGAAGCCAACTGTCAATTTGTGCGGTTAATATTAAACTCGATAATCTTTTCCTTAATTTCATTGTTTAGTTCATATTTTACTGCTAATTCTTAATGATTTTGCAACTGTCAATTCTTTTGCGCAAAATCTCACTGTTTGGTGTTCGCTCTCAGCCATTTCCGTTCCCACTCACTGAGTCACTGTCGGGCGATGGGTCCGGACTCGTCGGACAACAACAGAGAGCACGACCGCATATACATATACATATACATATACACATACATATATATATATATATATTGCCTGAATTTTTTATGTTAACTACAGCGTTGCTTGATTTTGCAAAGGAAAAATCAGTAATTTAGTTTAGGTAAATGTCTTTTTTTTTATAAAAAAAAAAAATCGCCACTAACGTATCAATATTTTCTTTGGCTTTACTCAAAACATATCATGATTCATGTTGCCATGTTGGTAATATCATACATGCTTTTTATAAAAATTTTGGTAATGATTATTAAACTGCGAGATCAATTTAGATAGATTAGAAAAAAATTGTATAAAAACTTTTATATTCTATAATTTCATTAATATAAAGAAAATTCACTCCAATTTTATCTTTTTTTAATTGTCTCAAATCAATAGTTATTAATATATATATATATAAAATCATGACAGGATTAATTACTTTTAAGCCAAACTTTTATAATTTTATTAAACTCATTTGGTTGGTTTATAATATCTAGTGAAATCGCTGATTTAATTGGTCGTTGGTGAAATTGTTAATTCGAATGCTTTTCTCTAAATTTTTTTTATTGATTTCTCTAAAATTTAATACTTAGTCAGGTTGAAAATTTTCGAAATATTTTAAAAATAAATAAAAAGATTAAAAAAGGGCAATCGTTTTAACTTGTAAACGGCTCGTCAATGCACACCACATATTTATGTAGCAATTAGGTCAAACATGCATATGATTATACTATAATCCTGCTCACGAGTCACGACAAAAATCCATGATAGAATCAGTACAAAATTGCATATTGGATATTCTATTTTTCAACTATCAAACCCAATTGAAAAAGAATGTTCATATATATATATATATATATATATTTGTGTGCATGTATATTTATATATGAATTATACACCTAGTATATGCGTATATCTAAGTGCAATCTCTAAAATATATACAACATAAAGATAGAGCGTATATGTGTGTGTGTGTGTGTGTGTGTGCGTGTTCTGAAAATATAATATATATGGAGATAATCAGATCTATATATTTTTATATTTTTGTTGATTAAATATTCATGTACAAAACTTTCAAAAACCTAAAATTTATTGAACGTAGGTTGGTATTGAAGTTACAAAAGAAAAATAAGCTCACATCAAATATGACAGAAAAAAAAAATCCTAATCTTTAAACGTTCTAATTAATCGCATAATAACATTAGTTATGAAAATATATGAAATTGTCAACAAAATTGAGAAAAATTCAAGCTCACCATCATAATTAATAATTATATCGTCCTACCATATAAATCACTGGTTAGAATGAAACCTTTATAAAGGTTGGTCGGAGAGATGTTTATTTATTAATCATATGAAATCTAAAAAATATAATAAAGGATTTCGTGTCTATTTTTGTTGTCTATTTAACTATATACAAGCAAAAAAAAAAGGTCTATTTTTGGTCATTTAACTATTCTAAGCAACTTGAGTATAAAATACCTATGAAGTGAACCACAATTTATCATATTTATGTTGTTCTATTGAAAAATAAAAAAAATGAAAATTTTTATAACCCAACATTCAAAGTCAAACAAAACACTTAATGTGTTCCTTTTTTTGGGCATTATCCAACGTTAAAGATTTGTATCAAAGCATCACTTTTTGGTTTAATATAAAAAAAATAAAGTCGATCCGGTTTTTTAAAAAAACTTATTAGATGTGTTTCTAAAACCAAAGCAATTGATTCTAAATTAAATTTTAAAAAAAGCTGAATTTAATAGAAAATTTCTAATAAAATAAAAAACTTTTTTTAATAATTTTTTTCCGGAAATGATTTGAAATTTGAAAAAAAAATCTATAATGGACAAAAAAATAAAATGAAAAAGAATAAAGGAAAAAAAAAAGTCTATCACCACCACCACCACCACCACTTCCACTACCGGCCACTAAGCATCCGCCTCAAAAGGTAAACGCCCTCTCTATCTTTAATAACAAATAATCATCATACCTGTTTATTTTTTATTTTTTATTATTATTTTTTTTACCATTAATGTTGGTGTCCACCAATTTTTAGGCATTTCTTTTATCAACATCATACCACGCACGCACTCCACTCCCAAAAAGGTCAAATCAATCATATACATACACACACACAAACATATATATATATATATATATATATATATATAGTTATAGAATTATAAATGATTTGTGATTTGATAATTGAATGGGTTTATAGAGATGTGCATAGGTATTTATAGGGATGCACTTGGATGTTCTTATAGGAAAAATATCAACAAGATCTAAAGAATATATATATATATATATATATAGAAAGAGCTTTACTCACACTTGGAGGAAAGATAATATAATAGAAAATAAAAATAAAAAATGAATTTACTTTGGCATGACAAAGAAGTTTTCTTCTGTTTGTTCTGACTTGTTCTCTGTGGTCAATGGGTGCGAGTATTCAGAAGGCATTTACAAGCTTCAACAGAGGAAACCCAGATTGGCCAGTGATGTCCTCTTCTACTTTTCCCTCTCTTTCTCCTCCTCCTCCTCCTCCAAGATTTCCCCCAAAATCTTTTATGTTTCTCTTGTTCTTACAATGATCCACGGGAACATGAGACCTAGAGCTCTCATAAGAGCATGTCCTCACATGGTTCTGTGCCTCCTCCTCTGTGTTCTCCCCCTCCCCGGTCTCTTTCTTACAACTGCAGAGGCTGTCTGCAATCCACAGGACAGAGATTCTCTGTTGTGGTTATCTGGCAACTTATCTTCTGCTACACCTCCTTTGAATTGGAATCAATCCAAGGATTGCTGTTCATGGGAGGGAATCTTCTGCGATGATTCTCCAGACAACCGTGTTACGGCCATTTCCTTGCCCTCACGAGGACTCTCCGGCAATCTCCCGCCGTCTATTCTGAATCTTTCCCGTCTCTCTCATCTCAATCTTTCTCAGAACCGTCTTTCGGGTGCTCTCCCTCCAGGTTTTTTCTCCGCCCTTAATTGGCTCCTGGTTCTTGATCTTAGTTTCAATGGCTTCAATGGTGAGTTGCCACTTGAACAAGCAATTGGCAATGGCGGCAACAGAGTACTCTTCCCTATTCAGACCATTGATCTTTCAAGCAATCTTCTCCAAGGCGAAATGCCCAGAAGTTCGGTTTTTCTTCAGGGTGCTCTGAATTTGACCAGTTTCAATGTCAGCAACAACAGCTTCACAGGTTCGATCCCTTCGTTCATGTGCACGAGTTCACTGCAGCTCGCCAAATTGGATTTCTCCTACAATGATTTCAGCGGCAATATCTCCTCAGAAATCGGAAGATGTTTGAGGCTAAGTGTTCTAAGAGCAGGTTTCAACACTCTCACTGGAGAAATCCCGAATGAAATCTATAACCTTTCTGAGCTTGAACAACTGTTTTTGCCAGTTAACCATTTCTCTGGCAAAATAGATGATTCCGTCACCCGTCTCACGAAACTGACATTGCTTGAGCTTTACTCCAATCACTTAGAAGGAGAGATACCGACAGAGATAGGTAAGCTCTTCAGTCTACGGAGCCTCCAACTCCATATCAATAACCTCACTGGTTCAATCCCTCCTTCCCTGGCCAATTGCACCGATCTTGTCAAGTTGAATTTGAGAGTTAATGTTCTTGGAGGAAGCCTATCCGAGATCGACTTCTCCCGGTTTCAGAACCTTACCATTCTTGATCTCGGGAACAACAGCTTTTCCGGTGATTTTCCAACGAAGCTTTACTCTTGCAAATCACTCACGGCGATCCGGCTTGCAGGCAACAAGATAACAGGACAAATATCTCCCGAAGTCCTGGAACTTGAGTCCCTGTCCTTCATGTCTCTTTCCGACAATAAACTGACAAATATTTCAGGGGCTCTCAGCATTCTGCAGGGCTGCAAGAAGTTGTCCACCCTTATCATGGCAAAGAATTTCTACAATGAAACGGTTCCAAGTGAAGAAGACTTTATTGACCCAGATGGATTCCAAGAACTCCAAATCTTTGGCATAGGTGGATCCAGATTGATAGGTAAGATACCGGTATGGCTGATCAAGCTAAAGAACTTAGAGGTCCTGGATATTTCAGTGAATGCTCTCACTGGAACAATACCCGGTTGGTTAGGAACTCTTCCAAACCTTTTCTACATGGATATTTCAGATAACCTTCTTACAGGAGACCTGCCCAAGGAAATCTTTCAGCTGAGGGCTTTAATGTCCCAGAAGGCCTACGATGCAACAGGGCGGAACTATCTAGAACTTCCGGTTTTCGTCAATCCGAACAATGTCACCACTAATCAGCAATATAATCAACTGTCCAGCCTTCCACCCGCCATTTACATCAGAAGGAATAACCTCACTGGGAGTATACCAGTCGATGTTGGCCTGTTAAAAGTTCTCCACGTGCTCGAGCTCTCACATAATAACTTGTCCGGAACAATTCCAGATGAATTGGCAAACCTCACAAATTTAGAGAGGCTTGATTTGTCCTTCAATGATCTATCTGGTCAAATCCCTTGGTCGCTCACAGGCCTCCATTTCTTGTCCTATTTTGATGTGGCTAACAATAATCTCCAGGGTCCCATACCAACAGGAGGTCAGTTCGATACCTTTCCGAAAGCACATTTCGACGGCAACACTTTGCTGTGTGGTACTGCACTGCAACGCTCCTGCAGTACTCCACCTGATCCCTACAGTACAACCATGGATAAAGACAAGGTTAATGCAAAGCTTGTTACAGGAATTGTCATTGGAACTTTTGTTGCTGCAAGTTTGGTTGTGGTGGTTCTAGCTCTGTGGGTGCTGTCCAAGAGGAGGATCATTCCGGGAGGAGATTCCGAGAAGACAGAAGTGGAGATAATGTCCAATGCCTCGTATTCTGCAGTTGTTCCGGAATCTGAGAAAGACATAAGCCTCGTTCTGTTGTTTGGAAACAACGAAACTGAAGTAAAAGACCTAAACATTTTCGAGCTCTTAAAAGCAACAAACAGCTTCAGTCAGGCCAACATAATTGGCTGTGGAGGATTTGGTCTTGTGTACAAGGCTGTCTTGAATAACGGAACAAGACTGGCTGTCAAGAAACTCACTGGAGATTACGGCCTGATGGAAAAGGAATTCAAGGCAGAGGTTGAAGTTCTGTCCAGGGCCAAACATGAAAACCTGGTCGCCCTCCAAGGCTATTGCATGCACGAGGGTTGTCGGATACTGATATATTCTTTCATGGAGAATGGAAGTCTTGATTACTGGCTGCATGAGAATCCTGACGGTCCATCCCAACTGGATTGGCCGAAAAGACTTAATATTGCCAGAGGAGCAAGTTGTGGACTAGCTTACATGCACCAGGCATGCGAGCCACATATTGTCCACCGTGACATCAAGTCCAGCAATATCCTCCTAGACGAACACTTTAAGGCTCATGTAGGAGACTTCGGGTTGTCGAGGTTGATCCTTCCTTACCGGACCCATGTCACAACCGAGCTTGTGGGCACTTTGGGTTACATCCCTCCAGAGTATGGACAAGCATGGGTAGCCACTTTGAGAGGAGACGTGTACAGCTTCGGGGTTGTAATGCTTGAGCTTCTCACTGGGAAAAGACCAGTGGAGGTGTTCAGACCAAAGATGTCAAGAGAACTGGTCGGATGGGTACTTCAGATGAGAAGTGAAGGCAAACAAGAGGAAGTCTTTGATCCTTCTCTGAGCGACAGAGGTTATGAAGAACAGATGCTTCAGGTTCTAGACATAGCCTGCAAGTGCGTGAACCAAAATCCTCTCAAGAGACCAAGCATCCAAGAGGTTGTAGACTGTCTCAAGAATGTAGGAGCAGGAAACATAAATCAAAGTAACAGAGACGATCAAGAACGAAGGTAACTGTTTGCCTGACCCTTCCCTCTTTCATCCTTAAGACCAGATACATACAACATCACAAGAAAATATACATTTTTTTTTTCAGTATATATATTTTCCTGTAAATTAAGTTGACGCTAATAGACAGATCTAATGATGTAAAGGGCAAGACAATATGCAGCTAAGAAACGTCCCCAAAACCCGAAATAAAGAAAGTTTACACATCTCTGGCTAAGTGAAACCTTAAACAGACAATTGTAATTTCCATCGTCAATCATCACAAGCTTCAGTAGTTCATCTACCAAAATTTAGCAAACGAAAGGATCGAAAAATAAACAAGGCAACGAAACATCCCCTCAAATAATATTAGAAGCATAATAAGAACTTCCAGAATATGCCACAAAGAAGCAAGAAGTTGTTCCTTTTTACGCAGATGCTTAAAGACACGATCAAAGTCAATGAATTCAAGAACCAAGTTTCGAACTGATTATCTCAATTTCTGCAGAGGCTTTCCCTGTTTCTGATAAAAACCTCCCATAACTCAAAACATTCAGAAATAATAGTCAAAATCCATGAAAGAAATCTAAAGGCAGAAAATCGTGTAAAAGCTTCAGTTTTTATAGCTTACTCTGTCATATTCAATACGTATATAGCAAATAGGCAGCTCTTCTCCATCCTCATGCTCTTATTCAACATCTAAATCAGTCAAACATGAAAATGTCTCAATCTATTTCACAATTTTAAGTTTATAACCTGGTGCCGTTTGAAGAATATCTAACTGAATGATAGAAAAAATCTAACTCGCACACCATCTGCACAATGGGTCGGAAACTCAAAGTGGCTTGGAAGCGGCATTACAACGAATACTTTATGCGCAGAGTTACCAGAAAAGAAGGAAACGACAGTAAAAACCAAAAGGAGAACAAACAAGCAGACAGAATGTCGGGATGTGACAAAACCAAATCCATGGAAGACGAATAAGAAGAAGAAAAGGGATAAGGCAGAGAATCTGAGACATACCCGAAAGAACAATGGAGGAATGTGACAGAGCGACGTCGAAGTCGTGTTATGTTGTGAATAGGAAGAAGAAGCCGTTGATTCAGACTTTTCAGTTGGATGGAAACGGTGTCGTTTTCGAGTATTGGGCTAAAATTTCTTACCCACTTCGAATTAGGGGTCCAATATGGGCCCGGTTAGGCCCAATTCGGTCTAGATCGTCTCGAATCAGTCCGTGGCCCGTTTTTTACTAATTGGAAAATTTGGTTCGACCCACGTCGCGAATTAAACTAAAATTAATAAAATATTAAAAATGATAAAATAATTTTAAAAAAATGCAAGATTGAATCATCTTATATAGTAGGTGTGCTAAATTTTACGAATTAGAAACCCTCTAGATGAATCCGGAGGTCCACCCAAACAGACTAATTAGCATATACATACATACATATATATATATATATGATATAATGTATCTTTGGTGCTAATTAATCATCGTCTTCAATGTATGAGCGTAAGAGCATGGTGGCGCAGCGACGAAGTATATAGAGACGAGCACGTTGTTGCTTCATCAACAAGGCACACTTGACGGTGAAACTTCGCCGGATTTCATTCTTCTCCGCCGGAAAATCAGCCATTGTGAAGAATTTCCGGTGACTGTAATTAGAGTCTAATGGCACATCGATGAACTTATCATCTCTCTCTCTCTCTCTCTCTCTCTCTCTCTCTCTCTCTCTCTCGCTATATATATATATGTGTATGTATAATTACGTGTCGAATGCGTGTGTAGTACGCGTATTTTTCTTGCAATACACTAATCTACTTCTGATTAGATGAAACCGCTTTAATCTACTTGTGATAACATTGACCAGAGATTCAATTCATACACCGGAATAAACTATTTCCGTGGTTAAGCCGAAATTTGTTCCGGTTATTTTCCCGGTTAACTTGTCAAATCTGTTCAAACCGTTACAAGGGTTGATCTTGAAAACAACTTTAAGAGACTCTCTTCATGAAGCGGCTTCTACCAAGAATTGCCTGATTTCATATTCCTCAGACATGGGAGCTGAACAGTTAAAAGGGAACGTGTCTGAATGGTTCTTAGTCTGGAATCTGTATTATGGTTTCCTCATGGCTAAGCAGCCGAGTCGATTTCTGTATAATAAACCAAGAAAAATATACATTCTTATCAGATTCAAGATGAACTGTTAAGAAATCTCGAACAAGAGAAAATGTTTCCGTTGTTTTCTAACCTTTTTTCGAGGTCTCTTCTTCAAGATTCGCCTCCGAATCTGTCGTTTCCCGAGCCTCGATGATCATAGCGACCACTTCTCGCATCGTCGGCCTGTTAACGGGTGAATTGCTCGTGCAGAACAACGCGATCTTCAGAAGAAGCGACATCTCCTGGATTTTTCTACGATTCTTCGTGTCGAGAAGCCTCGAGTCGAAGATTTCGGATGTCGGAACCATGTTTCGGATCGATCTTCTGACCCAAGTGACAAGATCTCCTCCTTGTTCCAATGGCTGAACAGGTGATTTACCGGTTACCAGCTCCAAGATCACCACTCCGAAGCTGTAGATGTCGGATTTCTCCGTCACTTTCATCGTGTAAGCGTACTCTGAAAACCCGAAAATGAGAGAAAAGCAAGGTAAGAGCGACAAAAAATGAAATAATTCTCATATCTTTTTTATGAATCTGGGCGGAATTTTCGCTCACCTGGAGCTATGTAACCGTAAGAACCTGCGACCGCCGACATGGATTTCGTGTAGGAGAGATCAATCAGCTTGGCGAGCCCGAAATCTCCGACGTGAGCTTCGAGGAGTTCATCGAGAAGAATGTTATTAGATTTTATGTCGCGGTGAATGATCTGAGGTCTGCAATCGTGATGAAGGTAACATAACCCTTCTGCGGCCCCGAGAGCGATTCTGTATCGAGCATTCCAATCCAACGAGCAGGTTTTCTCGCCATTCCGAAGTTTTCCGCCGAGGCTACCATTCTCCATGTACTCATACAAGAGAAGATTTGAGTTCTGGTGGTAGCAGAATCCGTATAACTTCACAATGTTTCGATGCCTGATCTTTCCAAGCGTCGAGATTTCTGCCCTGAAACTATTGTCGGAACTCGCTCCCTCGCCACGAGAGCTAAGCTTCTTCACGGCTATCACTTCGCCGTCCGCCATTACCGCTCTGTATACCGTTCCGCAAGCTCCTTGCCCAATAATCGCGGCCTCAGAGAAGTTTTCGGTAGCTTCTAGAAGAGCCTGATATGTGAATCCTTCCTTGGGGAAGTAGTAGTTATCTATGACATCCTCCCGTTTTGCTCGGTCATCGAGGGCGATAAACTCGGGTTTCCGCCACTTCGTTGCCCAACAGATACTGAGAAAAGTGAACAACGAGATCGTCCCGACAATCACGCAGGCGAGTTTCAGAAGCTTTTGCCTCGGCGAGCCATCCAGTAACCAGTTTGGCTTGGAGACAGAATTAGGGTTACCAGCTGGTTGGCAATGGTGAGTCTGAGGATTACACAAGCCATAGTTTCCGGCGAAGTTCGATGAATCCATCCGCTGGAACACTGGCGAATCTGGAACCAAACCTACTAAGTTGTTGTCTGAAATGTTGCAGATTATGAGGCTGATGAGGTCGCCAATGGAGGCAGGGATCTCACCCGAAAGCTCGTTCTCGTTAAGGTAAAGTGTTTCTAACATCTGAAGATTACCTAAACTTGCTGGAATCTTGCCTGAGAGATTATTGTGGCTGAGGTTGAGTGAAATCTGCAGAGAAGTTAGCTTCCCGAGCTCAGAAGGGACGTTTCCTACCAAGAAGTTGCCTCCGATTTGCAGTTCCGTAACCCGAGTGAGATCACCGAAGCTGTGAGGGATTTCTCCGGACAATCTGTTATCAGACAACCTCAAAATCTCCAGGTTCACCAGCTGGCCAAGCTCTTCCGGTACCTGCCCCGAAAACTCGTTTCCGCTGAGGTCAAGTCTCTGCAGTTTAATGCAGTTACCGAGTTCTCGAGGGATTCGTCCCGTGAGCTGATTCGAGGAGATGTTAAACCCGACGAGCTGCGAGAGATTCCCGATCTCGGAAGGAATCTCGCCGGCGAAAAAGTTGTTTGCAAGATTCAATCTTTCCAGATTCTTGAGCTTTCCCAGCTCTCGAGGCATTCCGCCCGAAAGTTTGTTCCGCTGAAGCTCCAGTGCAGTGAGGTTCCGAAGGTTCGACAACTCGACGGGAATGCTTTCCGACAGCTCGTTATCTCCGAGCATAAGCTTGGTAAGGGACTGACAAGTTTTCAAGTCGGGAGGAATGTTTCCAGATAACTTATTCGATCCGAGGCTGAGAAGTATCAGTTTCTGGAATCTGCAGAGATGGGCCGGGATTTTTCCGACAAAGGCATTGGCGGAAATGTCAAGAACAGAGAAGTTGCTATAGTATCCGATGAACGGAGGGATCGTGCCCTCGAGCTCGTTGTCGAAGAGCTGAAGATCCACAAGGTAAGTTAGGAACTGAATCTCTTGAGGGATTGTTCCATTTAGCTTGTTGATAGACAAATCCAGCTTCTGCAGAAGCTTCAGTTGCGAAATCTCCCACGGAATCGTTCCTTCGAGAGCGTTTTCGAAGAGATGAAGCAACCGGAGGTTAGAAATCCGACCAAACTCGCTAGGGATGAAACCCGTTAACTGATTCTCTGAGAAATCTATCTCGACGGCATTTGTCAAGTTCCCGATCTCTCGAGGTATTTCGCCGTTCAACTGATTCGTGTATATATACAGCTTTCGGATCTTCGTTAACTTTCCGAGCTCTCTCGGAATGGAACCGGTGAAGTAATTCTCGTGCAGGGCGAGAAGCTCGAGATTACTGATGTTTCCGACTGAACGAGGAATCTCACCGGCTAAACGGTTTCTCCAAAGGATCAGATCAGTGAGATTCTGAAGATTCTGAAGCTGCCATGGAAGAGAACCTTCGAGAAGATTCTCTGCCAGTCCAAGAATCTGTAAGCTCTCACATTCCCCGATTCCGGACGGAATATTCCCCGACAACATATTCCGACCCGCCCTTACAACTCTGAGCTGTTTCATCTTCCCTATCGAAGACGGGATCGGACCAGTGAGATTGTTGCTGTATATCACGAGTTCTTGGAGCACACTCAATCTCCCGATCTCTTCGGGGATCGATCCGAAAACGAAATTCTCGCATATATACAGCTTTAACAGTGTCTGGATCACCGATAGCTCGACGGGTATTTCTCCATGGAACCTGTTAGTGCAGAGATCAAGAATCTCCAGGCTCTGGCATGAAGACAGACCTGGTGGGATGGGACCGGAGATAAAGTTTGTCGAAACGTTGAACTCCTTCAAACGCAGAAGCTTGCAGACAACAGGAGACAGTGTTCCTGATAAGTTCATGCCATTGACGTTCACAGAGGTCACATTTGAATCGGTACACGTTATTCCTGTCCATTTGCAGGGATCTGAATCTGAAAGTTTCCAGCTTCTGAGGTAGCCATTGGAGTCGTTGAGTGAAGCTTTGAACTCCAGAAGAACATGACCCTCTTCGTTTAGTGATGCGACGAAGATGGAGAATGAACAGAGAATCGATACCGCGAGGCCATAAAGCCTCTCTCTGAAACAGCACATTTATCTGTAACGACAATGAGAAAACCTGTCTGAAAGAAAACCCTAATGTTTGATTCAGCTCCAATGTCGCTGAAAGAAACAAAACAGAAGAAGAAAGAAGAAGAAGAAGAAGAAGAAGAAGAAGAAGAAGAAGAAGAGGAAAGCGGAAATCTCATGAAACGTGTTTTCATTGAAAGTGAAGGAAGAGATCAATCAATGAAAGAGGACTTGTCGTCTGAAATCATTAGAAAAAAACACAAACAGAGAGAGAGAGAGAGAGAGAGAGAGAGAGAGAGAGAGAGAGAGAGAGAGAGAGAGAGAGAAAGCCATTTCTTTCGGGGCAAGTCAACTCTTCTGCTTCATCATCTTCTGTCTCCTCCTCACAAAACCCATTATTTTCCATTCGATCATTATCCCTTTTTCTTTTCGTCTGCAAGTGGTTTCAAATCACGTGACAGTGATCTGGGATCCTGAAGCAGATTCATTGAACTCTCTCTCTCTCTCTCTCTCTCTCTCTGTGGTGTTGTCTTTATATATATGTTGTGTCTACTAGCCTACTAGGTTCATGTTTGCGTGAAACAATTGTTTTGATTCCTTCTCTGAGATAAACAGTTCGGGAGATGGGTAAAGGTTGGGACGATGAGGATTTTGATGAAGACGACACGTGAAAAGGTGTTGAATTCGGACACAAAATGCGATCTGCCAATTTGGTTGCTTGTTGTTTTTGTGTTTTTCCTCTTTCATTTTTCTCTCTGCTGTAATGATTTTAGCCGTTGACCGTTGGAGAGACACTAGTGGAGCGCTGTCCCTTTCGCGCCATAAATGACAGTTAAAATTGACATTTCCACTATTACCCCTTATGCTGTAATCGTCGACATCATAAATAAAAATATTACTATGAAAACCTCATATATATAGATTAATATGTATATATATATATATAGCTGATTAATTTTATTTCAATAAATTATGATTGATACAGTTACAAATGAATTTTACTGAAAATTACATTCTGAAATTGATTACCTACAATTGATCTGATGCCAACCTAAAAAATGGAGAAAAAAATGAATAAAACCCAAAACTCTCTTTGTTTTTTTTTTTTTAATAAATTGGACCTCATGCGAATTAAACTAAAATCGAGAACTAGCTAAATCGAATATATATATATATATATATATATATATATATAGTAAGAAAAGAAAGTAGAGAGAAAATGAAGGATAAGATGGGACATTTCGGTTGTACAATCATGTATGGATATTGTTTCGGTGAATTTTACTCTAATGGATTTTATTCTTATATAAAAAAAAACGATTAATTTTTGAAGAGAACTTTATTTTTCTGAAAATAAATTCAGTTTCGATATAATTGTTATTATTTATTTAACTCGATTTAATATATCAGAACCAAATACACATTCCTATTTTGGATATATATTAGA